TATATTCACAGTATACATCGATTCTTATGTACGGGCCGCATGCAAATTATATAATCCACTTTATCTTTATCTTTATAATTTGCTTCTAATTTATCTTTTAACTTTATTATACCGTCAACAAAAAATCTACACCTAGAAAATTGCTAATTATTTTAAAAATCATCTATAAACAGTAAATTATTATACATCTTATGAAAGAGTATTTTATCCCAAATCATTTGGTATCATTTTTGTGTAGTATATGTTCACGATTGGATGAACATGAGGAATTGTTTGCGAGAGTGCGCCAAAGTGATGCCTACAGCATGTATTATGTTGGGATTAGCAGAGTGAGAGAATTAATTGAATGTATCAAATGAAATGCATACCGGTACTGATTGCATAATAAATGCTTTTTGCAGAAGCAAAGTCACAAACACAAACACACTGATTTTCTTATAAAATTAAAGATATGGCGTATATATTCAATATTGAATGAACGCCATTAAACTATTACCTACAACAACACACACGCGCACAAAATGTTCGTTGATATTTGATATTCGATATTCATGTGTGGCATGATTAAATTTGTTAGGGATGTTATTTAGATCTGCAAAGACCGAATTAATACCCAAATCCCGATTGTTTTATTCAAACATCATTGAGCCATAATCCTTGAGCCATAATGCATGGCCGTCCAGAGGATTTGTATATGTTGGGGACCGGGGTAAAATGCAATAATAAATTATTGAAAATTTATTGCATTTTCTGTGTTTTTTTTTATTTATGGAAACTGCCCCTACCCTAGCCCCCGCTGCGTACAGTCATGGTTCAGTGACAAAACAATGGCCTCGTAACTGTGAAGCCCCAGGATAAAAACTGTGTCGATATGCTATTAGTGCCCTTTTGTGGGGCATTAATCCTCATTACTGTCATTTATGACTTGAGGGCATATAGGTCCCCTAGTTAATAAGCATAGTAGCATGCACATGCTTTAGCAGTCCCGCAAAACACACATTGGCAAATTATTATTCAATAAAATCTGAGAATGTATACTATTATCCAGATCTATTATTTTTAAATAATTTTAAAATAATTCCACAAATTGGGGTAAAACTAAAATATTCCACCTTTATGAGCGACAGTGTACATTGACAGAGTGGACTTTGACTGATTTGATGAGAAGAGAATTTGTGCCAATGAGGAGCTAACGCTTATTCATTTACACCCTTAATCAATTCTGAACCTTTATGAGATATCCTATTACAATTCATAATGGAAATTATTCTACACAATACATACTGTGCAGAGAAGCGACTCAAACGGTTTTATATTCAATTCAATTCAATTCAATTTAATTTCGGTTTATAAATATCAACATATACAATGTACAATGCAGTAGTCCAGGGACCAATAATGCAATGTTTTACATAAATGTGCATAAAACAGGAATGATCAATAAAAATGGTAAAAGATAAAGTTAACATTATTGTTCGTACCTAAAGTTATATACATATATTAATGATAATAGATGGATGGACAACCTATAACAGTAACTTAAAATATTGAACTAATTATTGCAAGTAAAAATAATCTTTAAATACAAATTTTATTAAAACACACATATATATATATATATATATATATATATATATATATTTATAATTATAGAGAGAGAGAGAGAGAGAGAGAGGATATTATTATATTGCAATTGTTAAAATGAGATCCATAGACTGAAAAAGTATAAATGCAGGTGTGTCTGTTGTGTGCCAGGTATATAAGGTCAAATTATGTTGAATGGAATTATTACATTAAAAATATATCATTAAAGCATTTCATATAAAGTGATGTATAATGCCTATGAGCATACACAAATTCTTATAATTGTTGAGTTTCCATGCACATTACATTTTAAATTGAATTTGAGCTAAATTATGTTATTGCAGCAGAATTATACACGGTGGTTTAAGAACAACTTTATAAGATAAATGAAGAGTACTCAATAATGTGCACGAAAATTTGATTTTGGGATCGATCTTGAGTTCAATTAAACAAAGTAACAAAACAATAACTCTAATATTATTAAAAAGAAGAAAAAAAATAGGGTACATTACTATAGATGGCACTATGAACATGACAGACAAAGAAAGCGGACAAAATATACAGTTCCTCAGGTAGACAAAGGAACATCCCGTCACTGCTATTATGTAAAAGGGTGAATATGCATGTGACACCTGTTCTACACATTTTTACATAATAGCAGTGAAGGGATGTTCCATTGTCTACCTGAGGAACTGTATATTTTGTCCGCTTTCTTTGTCAGTCATGTTCATAGTGTGGTCTACAACTGAGCATTGACCAGTTTGATTTTCTGTATCATTCAGTTCTTGCATAAGGAATGTGTAGGTGGTTAGAACAGGGACTAACTAACAAGTCCCTGGTTAGAATTCCTAAGTCCACCTCGCGAGAGATGCTGTCGTTCAGCCGGAAGCAAATCACGGTGTCGCGAGGAGACAAGGATTGATTTGGCAAAGTTGATAAGTAAGTCATGTCTTCACCTGGCAAGGGATGGAATGCCGAAACTGCTCAGGAGTTCCTCATAGTGATGTTGATCAGGGTATGATATCATCCTGAGAGACCTACGCTGTACCCGCTCTATGCTATCTGACTGCTGTGTTGTCAGGCTACTGCTCCACACTGGTTCACAATATTGTGTATAATGAGCACATTAGATCAGTTGGAACTCCATTCCTCTTCAATTTGCACAGGATATACAGTGCGTCCCAGAAAAAACGAAACCGAGAACTATCGATGTTTTATCATAACTTAATCACAATTATAATTAATAAATGGCACATAATTATTTGGAAAGCTTAGATCCTCCTCTTTTATTTTCCTCTTCCTCTTTTTACGCTTATCTGTATCATCTTTCACTCGGCGTGTTGGCAACTCGGGTGATTCCAAAGATAATGTCGGAGGCTTCATCTTCGCTGCCGTCATCGACATCGCATGAAGAGGCATTGCTTACTGGCTGAGTAATGAGCATAGAAAGATAAGGAAATCAAGGTAAGTAGGCCCGACACCATTTGTGTAGTCCCATATACATCTTTCTTTGTACAGTGCTAATTGTTACCAAGACTGGGCCAAACTTATTATGATTTTGATGACTCCAGAACCTTGCAGTACACACCATTACTTACATGCTACACAGTAAAAACGCTGCTTAAAAAAGTGATGTTCACTTACAGTTGTACACTATCTTAAACAACAGTTGAACAAATTGTAAACAATGTTGCTCGAAACGAAAGTAATTTTGTTAAACATTCGCTGTTTAAAATTTAATGACTGCTATATTTACTACACGAGAGCTTTTAGACAGTGTTGTTTACATATGACGTCATGTGTCACGTGCCAGTAAAGTGCGCGTTGGCTAAAAGCTTTGTTTCACATCATGGCCGACCAAGCTGTAGAGGTGTCGTGGATGAGTGGAAACGTCGCCGGACTGTCGATCACAAGGTCCACGGTTCGAGTCCCGCCGTGGCACTAATGTCCTTTGGCAGCCTAGCATAGCCGGGTAATGTTGGAGCGCCTTGAGGACCTTGCAAGGTCGGTACGTGCGCTATATCAGAATCCAATAGTATTATTATTATTCAACAACAGCTCCTTTTTAAACAACTTTCTTTAAACAACCCAGTTGGTGTAAACAACCCCACTGAACAACAGCTCCGTTTTAAACAACCGTCTTTAAACAACACCGGTTGTTTAAATTGTGATTTTAAACAAGTTGTTCAAAATGTTGATCAACTAAGTGTTTAAACTTTAAACAACTCGAGTTGCTTAACATTTTAAACAACTCTTAGATCAGGTCACCCGTTAATCCAAAGTTGTTTAAACTTTTAAACAACATGTTCACTAAAATTTTAACTGTGTACATGATCAACTTTTTTTGATCCATTCCACACCTTTTCTTTCACAACACAATCGCATGACCAGAACTCAACTTTATCTTTAATATATTGTAAATGGAGTGTAAGAATAGTTATAATAGTCTGGATTTATATGTGCTTTGCAGATGTTATGACGCCCCCCCCTGTCATCGGATTCATTCACGCCCAATGTGTACCATCCCCATTCCCTGGGGAGTATTCCTACCGTAGGTCGACGTTAGGGTATTTTCTAACACAAAGGCTTTTGTCATCCTATCAGGTCCCCGTTTCTCTCCTGGGTATGGAGTGGAAAATGTATATTAATGCCTTGCCAAAGGACATTAGTGCCTTGTCGGAAATGGAACCCACGACCTTTGCATTTCAAGCCGAGTGCTTAAACCACTCGACTACGACATCTCGAGTGTAGTGCAAATCACATGAATGTTGCATACTCAGTGGAACAATTATCATTGCTACACTATTACGTAATATGTAACGATAACTAATTTTGGCATCTTAATGAATTACGACAAAATTGTTATCGCTAAAATCCCGTCTCTGTTTATATTTGACAACTTAAACCCTAAATCAAATTAACCTGTGCTAGTTTATCTCGGTATACGTTAGCTTCTAAAGGTCAAATGATAACCACTTACTAATCCCCCCTAAAAATACATCGGTTATTGGATATTCAGTTAATAGAAACAGCTGATATCATAGCTTTCATTCGATTTAGAGAACATGTTACGAGCAAGGAGGAGACATCAATAAAACAACGTGCAACTTAATCTGTTCGCTAAGAGGATAGTTTTGAGACTTCTTTTCTCGTTTTTCTTAAAGATACAAACATGTCATTATTACTCCAGTTGTGAGCTGAGCTAACAATGTGTAAGAGTATAATGTCCTGGTGTGTATGGAGTAACTTGTGCGGAAAACGAATAGGAGAACTGGAAATATAGTGGAATGCGTTTACAAAGTTCTAAAGAAAAAGGATTCCGAAAATGGTACTTTCATGGTCGCACATGATTTCAGTCAAGTTTATACTTGGAATTTCTATTTTATGAGAACTATATTTAAGGGCCATACTTTTTTTGCCCTGTAGTTCTAATACTAGTGATGTAGTTTTTGACGAGAGAGAAGAGTCGTAGCATATGGCTAAAATAGTAAACCAGTCAAACTGTCATTGCTCCGGTTGCAATAACCCTTAAAATGAATAATGGCTACTGAAATCGAAAGTGAAAATCGAATTAAGAGTATCTTATCCACTCTCGAAATATTAGATGGAAAAAATAAGAACAAGAAGAAGATATTGGGGAAGAGGCAAAGCGAATCCTTGCGTAACCCGACCTACTCATCAGCGTTAAAGACACATCATTCCCTGTCCTGTGACAAAGAAACGAGGATGGTGCCCAAAATACTCGCTAGAGGAAATGACGAGACAATGGTGGGAAAATACTCTACTTTCCTCGCTCAAATAGTGACGGATTCCAGCAGTAAAGAAAGACGAAATTGGAAAAAAGAAAGAAACAGTGATTCTATTTTCGATCAAGATAATTTGAGAGGAGACAGGCCAAACTTTCAAAGAAGACGTGATACAATGTCATTTAAGTTTACTGAAAATCAGCATGGCACTTCAGGAGACACTCGACGACCTAGAGATGCAAAATTTGTCCAAAATGGAAAGCACTTGATACCATCTTTAGATCGGAAGCACTGTAAACCTTTCATTTTACGAACAGAAAATGATAGTGATTCCAAGCAAAACCCTGAGCAAACCGAACAGATGGATTTTATCGCGGAAAATACTACTTCCAGCAAAACTTCAACATGGCAGCAAGTTGTGAAATCGCGATTGATTCTGAAGCTAGTCAGTGACGCCACGACACCAAGAGTCGCAGAAGTCGTCGAAACCAAGATGAAGGCTCGTCGTATCAGGAAAAGCTCATCCGAGTTGGATAAGGACAAAGAAAATGGTGGTTTCCATAATCATCTATCAACTGTGATCGGTGCTACAGTAGCCTTCAAACGAAAAAAACTCAAAATACTACGAGAAGAACGAAAGGTTTGTAATCACGACGGACATATCCTGTAACATCTTTGAAGGCAAGACAAATCACTTACTGTCAAAATATACGAAATAAATCTTTTTGTCTTCTAAGGGGGGGGGGGGGGGTCTTTTAATGTAGAAGCGAATTTGCAACTAGAAACGGGACTGACTTAAGTCAAGCGCGTAGCTAGGATTTTATTTTAGGGGGCGGTAGTAAGCACGCGTAGCGCGCTCCCTACGGGCTTTGACGTTTCATTAATTTATTAGAGAAAGAAGACGATTCGTTTTACCGTCTCGCCTCTTTATCCTTGTCTGAATTCAGTTTCCCCACCCCCATCCCCCTCACACGAGAAGCGCGGAAGCTTTGACTACGTTTCATTAAATTATTAGAGAAAGAAGACGATTCGTTGTACCGTTCTCGCCTCTTAATCCTTGTCTGAGTTCAGTTTCCCCCCTCCCGCGCGAAGCGCGGAATGACTATGTTTCATTAAATTTATTATTAGACAAAGAAGAAGATTCGTTGTACCGTTCTCGCCTCTTAATCCTTGTCTGATTTCAGTTTCCCTCCCTCCCGCGCGAAGCACGAAAGCTTTGACGTTTCATTTAATTATTGGAGAAAAAAGGCGATTCGTTGTACCGTTCTCGCCTCTTAATCCTTGTCTGAATTTAGTTACTCCCCTCCCGCGCAAAGCGGAATCTACACTCAACTAGTAAGTTAGCGGAAGCTTTGACCACCCTGTATTGCATCATGGAAGGCAAAATGCACATTTTTGGTCGAGCATTAACTGCAAGAAACACCAGGATTCCATTATGAAATCATTATCAATCGGGTCAAAAATAGCCACTCAAAATGCTGGTAATACAATTTTGCTTACATTACTTGATGATCAATATATATATATATATATATATATATATATATATATATATGCATTAGACTTACTTTTTTGTTGAGTGAATAAAAGGACGAGACATGGGGGAAATTGAATTTCATTTTTCAATTATATTCTACATTCTATTCATCTATTTTATCTGTTAACTTATTTTTCTCTTTTCTTCTGATAAAATTTCAGGTTATATTTGGAAGAAACACATCATGAACACATGGTACACTTATTTCACAATATGAACAACTACCTAATATTAAATTAAATTTGTTACGTTGTAATCAAAATTCATACTATGCCTATGCGGTAAAAGCCAAGTATATATTTTGTGCTTATCATCATTGTACATTAAATGAATAAAAACTGAAAATGAAAGTCGAGTCTGTGTAAAAGATGTGAACACAAGGTATATACTTAGCGAAAACGCGGGGGGCTGAGTAAATATGATATAAAAAGTATAAAAAGGAAAAAACAAATCGGGTTCGAAAAGAAAAAGTCCTCGAGGAAGTTGAGTTAAATTTTCCTAAACAGTATTACAATCATTGATACCAAGTTTTTGTTTTGTGTCTATCTACCCCTACAGTTTCGTCTCTCCAGACTGTTCAGGGTTGTAGCCCGTCTTGTTGTGGTAATCAGACGTATCTGTGAGGTTCATTTCGTCGAGAGAGGGTAACATTTCTCCTTTAAGCCAATTTGAATAAGATATGAATTTGAGCCATTATGAGAGAACAACACGGTTTTTAGATATATGTTTCATTTGTCTCATGAGATTCCCTAAACTATGTAGGAAATTGTCTAGAAACACGTCAACATTATCCACGTTCGTCTTATCATACTTAGACAACATGACTATCAACGTGATTAATCTACGCCTTCAAACACGCAGTTACACAACAGAGTTAAACAAGTAATCCTTGGTATTTATTGTTCATACTTGCTTCCTTGGGATATGCATAACGAACATGGAGAAAATAATTGAAAATAACACTATTTCATCGGATTCCTTACGCATACATTAATGTTCTTATTACTGCATGTGACTTAGCCTGATATGATGTAGCAGGTTTTGGGTTATTAAAATTTCTTCGTGTACTCGCATTGTGACCTCATCTTGTATAACTTTGTGGTTATGAAAAACAACGACAACAACGACAAGTCTTTGAATATTGTGCCAAGATATAATGTCAACTGTTTGTGTTATGGGGATATTCAAAGTATTACTAGACCTAATACCAATTCGTGAAAAGAGAAATATTTTCGTTTTTGAAAATGGATATTATATTTACTATGTATAGGAAATTGATTGTTGTTACCAGATGTACTTGACGTCATACATGAAAAGAAAATGCCAATTGGTTAAGAGCTTACTTGGCAGCAATTAACCTTTCCCAAACAAACTAAAAGACATAAGTGGCCAATCTTTACTTTAAACATGTTTAAACAATAATTAGTATTCAGGTATATCAATATAATTATTCAAACTCTTATGAGGTGTTTTAGATATTATATATATATATATATATATATATATATTTGTACTAGTAAATTGTGAAACCGTATAGTATATTAAGACCACCACCGTCCGAACAACCTTCATAACCTTTATGTTTAATACTAGCAGGACAGAGGAAGTCGATATATCGTTTGCCAAGCTAGTCTCCACCAGGCAGAGAACAGACCTAATGTTTGACGTCACAGACTACAAAGCAAAGAAGAAGGTCAGTTATTAGATATTCTCTCGACCAGTGATTCACTGGAGATGCGAAGATCCGTGGTTCGGGCCCCGGAACAGGACTAATGCCAGTTGGTATTTATATACATTTGCCACTCTTGCGCAGGGGAGTGGTGAAGTGTGACGTCATCAATTTTTGTTTTGTTGGTGTTTTAAGCACATTCTCATAACGGAAGACTGAAAATGCCTTTAATAAGTAACATAAGTATATCATCAATAAATGCGATTGAGGTGCGTTTAATGACGAGAGGTAAAGGGGACACTTATCAGAAAAGAAAAGTAGCTCGTGTCAAAATACAAAGAGTAGTTATCAGAGGTGAAAATGGGGCACTTTTTACACCTTTAAAAAGACTCCACTCACCAGTGATGAAAAAAGGCACTTATGAAAATAGGAAATGTGCATTTGTCGACGGAAAAGGTGCCCGATCTGATTGTGGAAGGGGCATTTATAAGAGGTGAAAATGGGATAAGGCCCTTATTATAAAGGAAAAGGGGCACGTATCATTGTTAAAAGGGAAATTATCAGATATGAAAAGGGGCACTTATCATCTTACGGGAATGAAAAAGGGCGCTCACAATAGTAAATGTGCATTAGTTGAAAAAAAGAGGTACGGACTAGATTTTCATAGGGGCATTTATCGGAAGTGAAGGGGGCACTTATCAGTGCTCCATTGAAGAACAGAGCCATTAGGTTAATGGACTATCTAGGTATGATTTCAAATCCCGACTTTGTTCCTTCTATATTAGTGGCAGCTGATGTCAGAAACTAAACGCATTTTACAGAAGTCTACCCGAAGCGAACATGATATACAACATGTAAGTATAAATGGTATCACTCGACCCCCCCCCCCCACTCAGTGTTATTTAGGGTACGCATATGCTCGTACCCTCTTTTTGAAAGCACCCCCTATCTGAGGACTGCCAACATTTCCGAACCCCCCTTTCGCGGGCTTTTCCTGCCTTGGAGACCCCCCTAAATCAGGAAAAATGCTCAATGTACTCCCCTAAATTCGGAATAATTTCTCAGGAGTCCAAAGAGATGAGAAGAAAAACACCCCCTTTTTAAAGAAATCTCCGGGTGAAGAGTCAAATACACCCCTTTTTTTTACAATTCTCGGGCCGGACTTTGTCGCACGAAAAGTACCCCTTTACCGGACATTTTGGTAACACGCATGCGGCCATTCCGACCTCTGAGTGGGGGGGGGGGGGGGGGGGGGGGGCACTCGACCCGTGGGGTGATGACACACTCATCTCAGTGAAACAATTAACGTCATCGTATTTCCACAAATCGCAAAAGTGGATTCAAGAACCATTTATTTTTGTTGGTTGGTTCGACAACACTCCTCCACCCCCAAATAACAATAATAATAAAATACATGAATTTCCTTTTTAGATAGAGACAACACTACGCGAGATGTCAGCTTTAGGGGAATACCCGGCGTCAATGCAACGGAGTATAGCTCGAGTAGGCTGGTATGAATCATATGGACCTAATAGAGTCATAGTAAGAGAGGGTCATATGCCTGATGCATTCTACTTCATTCTATCCGGTTCGGGTAAGTTGACATGGCAAACAACATTATTGTGTATAAATGAAGTTCGAAACATTATATATGCGTGAAGAAAATGGTCTAGGAAAGTGAGACGTAGCTGTACTTTACCATTATATTGCGAGCTTTCGGCTTGTGAGGCCTTCTTCAGGTTCTGAATTCTCGCAGTTTTATATATATATATATATATGGGTAATTTACATGGGTATCATAATATGATATATGGTATGATATGAGATGTGATGAGATGATATTTAATTGTATATGATATCGATGTTGGATATTCGATATATCATATGATATTATAGATATAATGACTGCTATGAGAGGGATAGTTGTTTTTATAGGCTCAATGGGACGTTACATCCTGCTATCACCCCAAGGCGTGCCGAGGGGTGAAAGCAGGATTTAACGTCCCCGAGAGCCACTGTCGCTCATAAAGGTGGAATATTTTTTTTTATTCCAATTTATGGAATTATTTTAAAAATAATTAAAAAATAATAGATCTAGATAATAGTATACATCTCAGATTTTATTGAATAATAACTTGCCAATGTGTATTTTGCGTGACTGCTAAAGCATGTGTATGCTACTATGCTTATCAACTAGGGGACCTATGCCCTCAAGTCATAAATGACAGTAATGAGTATTAATGCCCCACAAAAGGGCACTAATATAGCACATCGACACGGTTTCGATCCTGGGGCCTCACAGTTACGAGGTCATTGCTTTGTCACTGAACCATGACTGTACGCAGCGGGGGCTAAGGTAGGGGGCAGTTTCCATAAATTAAAAAAACACAGAAAATGCAATAAATTTTCAATAATTTATTGCATTTAACCCCGGTGCCTGACATAAAAAAATTCTGTGTGCCCATGCTTGAGTCATAATGCATGGCAGACCAGAGGATTTGTTTATGTTGGGGACCGGGGTAAAATGCAATAAATTATTGAAAATTTATTGCATTTTGTGCATTTTTTTTAATTTATGGAAACTGCCCCTACCCTAGCCCCCGCTGCGTACAGTCATGGTTCAGAGACAAAACAATGGCCTCGTAACTGTGAGGCCCCAGGATTAAAACCGTGTCGATGTGCTATATTAGTGCCATTTGTAGGGCATTAATCCTCATTACTGTCATTTATGACTTGAGAGCGTAGGTCCCCTAGTTAATAAGCATAGTAGCATACACATGCTTAGCAGTTCCGCAAAACACACATTGGCAAGTTATTATTCAATAGAATCTAAGCATGTATACTATTATCTATATCTATTATTTTTGAATAATTTTTAAAATAATTCCATAAATTGGGGTAAAACTAAAATATTCCACCTTTATGAGCGACAGTGTACTATGCTATGGTATGCTCTGATAAAATATGATGTGCTATGATATGATGTGATCTGTTATATGATTTGATTTCAGGACATGATATGATATTTGATAAAACTTATGATTTTATATCATATGATTTATATGATGTAATGCAATATGAATATAATAGAGCACAAGCATTATAGAGCGATGGGACCGGGGTTCCCTTATTTTGATACAAATTGAGCATAATGCTTTAAAAATAGCTTTTGAACCTGCAATTGTCTCATTCATCCTCTCTGATTCCTTTTATTAATTCTCATCTTATTAACCATATAAGTATCACAAGTTTTGAAAGCACGATCAATAAAAATGTACATTATATTTACGCACGTTTTTAAACGTGTTATAAAGTCACTTGTAACAAATTAATTAACTGGTAAATATGATAAAACAATCATCAGTGTAGATATAATTGTTCCCTTCAGCTCTGGTGAGTGTACCCACGCCCGGGGAAGTCAAACCTAAGATATTGGCCATCTTACTACGAGGTGACAGTTTCGGGGTGAGTTTCGTACAAATCGAATCTAAATATTTATCGAAATTTAGACATAAGTGCTACAAAATCTCGAATTCTTGAAATATCAATATCTGTTTGAGATACTGTTTATACAATGTACATTTGTAAGATTGTTCTGAAAAGGAAAATAAATAACTGTTATATTATTTCACAGTCTTGGAACACAGTAATAGCTTGAATAAAATCTCGTATCCGTCATTCCCTTCTCCACAACATTAATAAAGAATCTAACATTCCGGCACAAAAAACATACAAGTTTACACATATTGTTTGAAAGTATAATTCCGATGTTTTCGTCTATTTGCAGGAATTAGCTATTCTGAATCAAAGCAAGCGTACATCAACAGTTACCACTAGGGAGAATGTCGAGATGTTCGTCATTTCTGTAGAGGTAAGTAAATTATTTTCATTATACAGGAAAATATCTACTGGACTTCCATCCCAGGACAAATTATCATCTAGAATTATTACCATTAGGACACTTAAAAAAGGAGTTCCACCTTTTCGCTTTAATCGATGCAGAATATCAGAAAAACCCATCAGTGAAAGTTTGAACAAATTCGCATTAGAAATCAGAAAAGTATGAATTTATCAAGTTGCAATCGATTAAATACAAACTGGCAACTCTGTGATGTTATCTTACGAGGCCCTCTCGCTAAATATTCATAAATTTATTTTTTCTCTAAAATTGAATTTCAATCACACATACACCCTCGAAATAATCATTGCACATAATCATTGTATTTATTTATTTCAAATCTTTTGTCTGGGTAGCCCATTCACCAATAAGTATATTATTCTCCATGGGGCCCTGAATAAACATGAACATATTTACATCAAATAGCATAACGTTTATACAGAACACTTACAGCCCCCACTGTACTACTTAAAGCTACTTGCTCCCTCTATATAGAAAACAATGCCTAATCGGTGACCATTGGTCCTCCATGATCCTCTTTTTCTTATGTTGATTGAGAGCTGAGTTGATGAGATAGCCACTTGTCAGTGACCACCACCCAGGTGGTCTAGTCCCTCCTAGCCAAACTAGTACAGGCTGCCTTTAAAATAGAGTTCCAAGGTAAATTCAGAAAGATATAATACAGCAATAATAGACGTGGAACAAACGAATACTCGTTTGCAAAACAATCATGTATCAGTAACCTAGTTCAACTGTGATGCCAATAGAAAAGTATTGACTAAGTCGCAATTATGTGAATAAGTCACGTTAATATCACAGAATATAAACACAGTTTATTTTTCGGCTGAGCTATTTACACATTACAACTTTGTTGAAACAATTGTTCTCTTAGCTTATTCCATTCAAATATAGAAGAAACAATTATATTCCTTTATCAATAAAAAGAAAAGAATATCAAATTTTCAGAATGACCGAACGGGACAGGACCCCGAAGGATACGTCACCTAGTTGTCATTCTGTGTTTCATTGATTTACATAATATCTTTCTTATGTTTCATCGGATTTGCTCAAAGTTTATTATCTGCTTTACCTATTTCTCTGTCTATTTTGAACCCAACTAAATACCAGGTGGAATTTCCCTGGAATTACAACCTCGTTAAGAGCTTTTACAGATGGTGGACTAATTTCTAAATAATTACATTTTTGCCGTGTACAAAAATATTATTAATTTCTTTTTTTTTCTCGCTGGCGCCTTCTTCCTACTCAAAATATATTATGCATTGCTTATAGTTATAGGTCCTCTAAAAAGAAGATTCTCCTGACTCATACATTTTTTTAAATTGACATTTTAGTCATTTTGTGCGTTTAAATAAATGTCCAGCACTACGTCACGATTCATTACCGATTCAGCCGATTTGAAGTGCCCATATACGTATTAACTATTATGCGTATAGTGATAAAAAAAAAAAAAAAAATAATAATTTTTTTATTTTTGCCCGATTTCATTCAAACTTTTTGACAGGCTGCTTTTCTGCTTTTTCTGCTTTTATTATTATTATTTTATTTGGCAAATCAAGTCACATAAATACAACAATATAACAAACAAAAATTGAGATAAAATCAATAGCGAGCATATATAAATATTGCAATAGCAGTTGCATCCGGTCGAGCTGCCCCGGTATGGAAAAAGTTAACCAAATAACTGTGATCCGCAGAACTTCATGCTTTCCTTTAGAGTAGTTGTCTAATAAGGTTGGATTTTCGTTTAAAGATTCAAACATATAATGTTATGTTAGTTGATTTTTGACTTGTTGAACAGGATTTTACTAATATCGTGATGTCTGGAAACAGTAAGATGCTTCAAGATCCGGGAACAGCGACATTTATGAGGTATGCATGACTACCAAAACATAATTGTAAATGATAAAATCCTTACTTCTACATTATCAGCATATTCATGGTGATAATAAGTGACCTGTTGCAGATTGCACGGAAAAGGAAAATGTGCATGTGGTATAGCCTAATTTCATTTAACACGTCTCTTTTTCTTTCACATACCATTAAACAAAACTCTAGTATCTCTGTTCCCATTTTTTAAATTGTGTGGCTATATACCAAAGAATATCACACTCAAGAAGTATGCTAGGCCCTTTTTGTAAGGAGAAATTAAGTTCGCTGTGGAACCAAAGGAAACCGTTGTCAACGTAATACTAGTTTACCTAGGGAAGCCTCATCGCATAAATGCAATTCTTCATGAGGGCACTGCAATTAATAACCAAGCAAAAGCCTGGGACCCATTTACAACTGGGTGGAGAGTGGCAATTTAGATTAATGTCTTGTCAAATGACTTAGTGCCGGGCTGGGATTTGAACCCTCAACCAAGAGGCGGCGCTACAAGGGGAGCAGGGGAACAGTGCCCCCAAACCCTGTCAAGTAACCCTAAAGTGCCCCTTTTACTTAGGAGATGTGCCGCGTTCACTTCAGATTAGGAACCCCTCTTTCTGTCTAAGAAGAGCCATTTCCTTTCCTCCATCTCATAAGTGCCCTTTTACACTTCGGATAAGTGCCTCTATTCAAATCTCATAGGTGCCCCTTTTACTTTGACAAGTGCTCCTTTTCTTTTCAAATAAAACCTCCCTCCTTTTCTTACAGGTGCCCTTTTCAATTCTAATAAGTGTCCTTCTTACTTCTTATAAGAGCCCATTTTTTTCTCATACTAGAAATTGCCCTCTGCTAAGTGCCCTCTTTTACCTATATTTCCCATAGTGCGCCCTACCACATCTAGTTTCAAAAAATCGAAAAAGCTTCATGTAGTAACTGCACTTACAATATTGACCAAATGTCATTCGTGTTAAAAAGAGACATGATTACCATAACTTTGACAACATGATTGTATCACTATCATCTTCCCCGAAACGATAGATTTATAATAATAATAATTATCCTTGCTTATATAGCGCCTTACACTTACTTTATCAGAAGTCTCTAAGCGCTCTACCTGGCTTTAGCAGTGCATCTGTTACGCGCGCTGCGTTTCAAGGAATAAATTCCTACCAGGTACCCATTTACCTCGCTTGGGTTGAGTGTGGCAAATGTAGATCAATGTCTTGCCAAAGGACATTAGTGTGGCGGCGGGACTCGAACCTTAGACTTAGACTATGTTGTAGCATCGACATCAAAACTTAACGAAAGGTTACAATTTTGAATTGTTATCATCATTTTGAAAGTATAGATTCCTATTCCATGAAACTTGAACATAGGGGTTATCAAGTATCATAAATCATTTGATTAGTCTTTTAGGTAACAAAGTCAAGGTCAAATGTAATTTAAGGTCTGCAAACTTAGACTTTGTTGTGGTATCAACCTCAAGATTTTGAATTTTTAGCATTATTTCAAAAGCGGTTGTTCAAATTCCATGTAACTTGTTCACAAGGGTTATCAAGTTTATCAAGTATCACAAATCATATGGCGCAAATTCCAGGTCACAAGTTCCAGGTCCAAGGTCATTTTAGGTCAGTAGACTTGGATTATGTTTTCACAACTTAATATGAGAATTAATAAATCTATTTTTAATATTTGTTCATATTCCATTAAAGTTATAAATCTTGGTACAAATTATAATAAATAATTTTTCTGATGATTCTTAGCCAATACTCACTTCAAAATGCTGATTATATACAAAGAATTCTTTTTTTTGTATTTTTTTTTTTTAGGGGGGGGGGGCTGCTAATGGGCCACCCTGCCTATAAATAATATCCCAACCTCAAATTTTCATCATGTCGAATTGCGTAATGCATGCGAGACCGCCGAAAGCGTTTCTCTTGTTTATAAAGTGTTTTTTTGTTGGTGTTCCCCTTTTTGAAAGACGCTCCGCCGCCCTTGCCTTATTCCAGAATCTGGCCTATTTAATTTTGAACTCCACCACGTCCACACGCTACCTCCCCCTACTTCCTTGCTACCAGCCGAAGATGGCGTGATCATTAAATTAGGACACCAGGCGAAAAGGTTCTCAGGAGCATAATTATGAGTTCGTTGATACCGCCATCTTCGGCGGTTTGAATCAAGTGTGTAGGGAATATAAAGAACCGGCCCGATTCTGGTTTGAATCAAGTGTGTAGGGAATATAAAGAACCGGCCCGATTCTGGTTTGAATCAAGTGTGTAGGGAATATAAAGAACCGGCCCGATTCTGGACTACCCTTGCCTCAACCCTTGCCTCAACCCTTGGGTTGATAGTCAAGTGAATGAACCTCTCAGTATACCACGACACCTCTGCATTTTAATAATGATGACAAGTTGCGCTTAGCCTTACCTATTTCATATTTTTGTTTTCTCCGAAGGAGTGTTGAGTTCTTGAAGGAATGGCCGCTGAATAAAATCGAAAACAATCCAAAGAAATGCGTCTTCAACTTCTTCAGGTATGATTTTTAAACAATGTTTAACGTGTGACAATAACATATTGCGAGATATACATGAACAAATGTAATATCGTAGACTGCACACATGCAGGGGCGTCGCTAGATCTTTTTTCGTGGGGGGGGGGGGGTGTAGAGGCCACCGATTACCGACGAAACTAGCCATCAATTACCGACAAATACATTAATGCCAACGTGCCAATAAATTAAAACATATAAACCCGGGGCCGGGGGCTAATTTTCCTACGAAATTTTCTATACCTGCGCATGCGCACATGGTCTCTTTTCTTGACCTCATAAATACACGGTTTATTTCGTCAAGACAAGACCTAGTCAGCATCGTTGCTACATACATAAATGTGCAACCTGTACTTCAATTTTTCGGTGTGGCGCAATCGGAAAGGGCGAAGCTCGATGGGGCGATTTTTGAACCCATCTTTTTTTTTGCTGATATTATAGTTAGGTTGACAATGACAATTGACAATACTTTTCATGATTGCTGGTGAAACTTCGAGGTTTAGGTTTATAGGCGTCTATCATTCAGGAGTGAATATTTACGCCTCTTCTGTTAGGATTCTTTCCTTTTAAACTAGATTTACTTTTTTAAATATATTAATTTGGATAAATTGGATTCTTAAAAATTAAGCTTTTTATTTAATGTTGAAGTATTTATAGTTGTAGTCTTTCTCGAAGTCGTCACAGCGGATGGAAAGTCACAGTTCGTAAGAAACAATATTTCGCTGGACGACCGACATTATACATCTCACCGAGTGAAAACTTCTGCATTGATATAGTACACGAGGACCGAGCGAAAATACCGAAACAGCTGACCCGACACGGCAAAATATCTATGCGTACCTTTCTTGCTCCTCTCTCTCGTGCTCTTACCCCCCCCCTCTCTCTCTCTCTCTCTCTCTCTTTATCTCTCTCTCTCTCTCCTCTTTTTATCCCCCGTTTCATTTGTTTCATTTTTCTCTCTTTTTTTTTTTTTTTTTTTTTTTTTTTACTTTTCTCCTTTTCTTTCTTTTCTTTCTTTTCATTCTTTTCCTTTCTTTTCTTTTCCCTTTTTGGCCCTCTTTTCTCTTTTCCTTTTTTTCTCTTTCTTTCTTCTTTACCCTTTCCTTTCTTTTCCTTTCCTTTTTTTCTTTTCTTTTTCTTTCCCTCTCTTTTTTCCATCCCTGTTTTCTCATTTTTCCCGACGGCAGCGCAATTTTACCGACAATATCCAGATAGATGGGGGTGTCGCAACCCCCCCCCCCCCTCTAACGGGGATTGGAACTCATTGAAGGAATGCCCAGAGAAATAAGCAGACATCTTGTGAAATTCCCCTATACAACAACCTCAAGGGTGATCGGGACTCATTGAAGGAATGCCCAAAGAAATAAGCAGACATCTTGTGTAATTCCCCTGTTCAACAACCTCAAGGGTGATTGGGACTCATTGAAGGAATGCCCAGAGAAATAAGCAGACATTGTGTAATTCCCCTGTACAACAACCTCAAGGTTGATTGGGACTCATTGAAGGAATGCCCAGAGAAATAAGCAGACATTGTGTAATTCCCCTGTACAACAACCTCAAGGGGGATTGAGACTCATGAAGGAATGCCCAAAGAAATAAGCAGACATCTCGTGTAATTCCCCTGTTCAACAACCTCAAGGGTGATCGGGACTCATTGAAGGAATGCCCAAAGAAATAAGCGGACATCTCGTGTAATTCCCCTGTACAACATCCTCAAGGGTGATTGGGACTCATTGAAGGAATGACCAGAGAAATAAGCAGACATCTTGTGTAATTCCCCTGTACAACAACCTCAAGGGTGATCGGGACTCATTGAAGGAATGCCCAGAGAAATAAGCAGACATCTTGTGTAATTCCCCTGTTCAACAACCTCAAGGGTGATCGGGACTCATTGAAGGAATGCCCAAAGAAATAAGCAGACATCTTGTGTAATTCCCCTGTACAACATCCTCAAGGGTGATTGGGACTCATTGAAGGAATGACCAGAGAAATAAGCAGACATCTTGTGTAATTCCCCTGTTCAACAACCTCAAGGGTGATCGGGACTCATTGAAGGAATGCCCAGAGAAATAAGCAGACATTGTGTAATTCCCCTGTACAACAACCTCAAGGTTGATTGGGACTCATTGAAGGAATGCCCAGAGAAATAAGCAGACATTGTGTAATTCCCTTGTACAACAACCTCAAGGGGGATTGAGACTCATGAAGGAATGCCCAAAGAAATAAGCAGACATCTCGTGTAATTCCCCTGTTCAACAACCTCAAGGGTGATCGGGACTCATTGAAGGAATGCCCAAAGAAATAAGCGGACATCTCGTGTAATTCCCCTGTTCAACAACCTCAAGTGTGATTGGGACTCATTGAAGGAATGCCCAGAGAAATAAGCAGACATCTTGTGTAATTCCCCTGTTCAACAACCTCAAGGGTGATCGGGACTCATTGAATGAATGCCCAAAGAAATAAGCAGACATCTTGTGTAATTCCCCTGTACAACATCCTCAAGGGTGATTGGGACTCATTGAAGGAATGACCAGAGAAATAAGCAGACATCTTGTGTAATTCCCCTGTTCAACAACCTCAAGGGTGATCGGGACTCATTGAAGGAATGCCCAAAGAAATAAGCAGACATCTTGTGTAATTCCCCTGTACAACATCTTCAAGGGTGATTGGGACTCATTGAAGGAATGACCAGAGAAATAAGCAGACATCTTGTGTAATTCCCCTGTACAACAACCTCAAGGGGTCGAGCGTACGAGCATGTACATGCTTATGCTGCCCTCCAAGAAGGAGCTCCTAATTACTTGATTTTGCTGTATTTGATCTGTTGTACTATTACTATATGATTGTTTAAGTCATTGCATCAGCTGGTCCAATTGTAAGTTTTATATGTGATGATATCATATGTTCTTGAATGTTACATATTTGTCTTTTATTGCTGTTTGTACTTGTACCATAATGTAAGAATCCATGTTCCCTGTACATTGATGGTGATTTTGTTTAGTGTAATGATGTCTAGTAGTACATGCATTTTTATATATGATGATTTACATTACAGGAAAGACACGGTCCTCGTAAGAGATAGCAAGTTGTCTGAATGGATCTATGTCGTCAAATCGGTAGGAAATTGAATTAATATGTGTTTCTATCCATCATACAATCACTCTACTAATTTCAATCATGATATTCCTTATTATAGTTAGGGGCGACTATTGTGTTGTTTTAGAATATATTTCATATCGACTGATGTGACCTGACATCTAATTCTATATCCATGGTCCTATGCGATTGCTATAAATCTTTACGAACTATAAAGATATTACTCGAATACACCCTACGATAACCAATACTAAACTGTCAACTGAATGGATATAGGCCCTAAGTGATTGGTGTGTCAATGCATATTATGTATACTATACGATGACTGTTAATTTTCATACAGCTTCTTAGTTATCGTAATTTTCATCTATTCATCACATCCATTACTAAAGCGAGGAAATTCTTCTGTAAGGTTAACCTCACTAAGAGTTATCGGAAATTAAGGATTAAATAATTCACAAAAGTAGCAAAATATTAAAAATTCTGAATATAACGATACAGGAATCCTTAATAGTGTTGAAATTGTACTTGAATCTAAATGGTGTGCGTAATGATTACTAGGCCTAAACAATCAGAAACATAAATACCGTTTAGTTGGGTCTTCTATTATTCTTCTTACATTACATTTGTTTTACTAGGGAAGCTGTTCTGTGCTGAAGCAACTAAAGAACGTCGAACCCGAACTCTATCCTAAGAAGCGGGAATCAAGTAAAGGTTAGGTTTTTTTCATTTTGCTCAGTGCTTTTCTTTCTCCGTTTCCATTTGTTCTTAAACCACTATAAATAGGTATGTCATTTTACTGTATGAACTGAAATGGATGATTTTTTGTTGTTAAATTCCTTTCACGATATTAAATCTAAATCTAAACTAATTTACAATACCAAGGGAAATTGATGAGGCGGTCTATCTCGAGGATACAAAAATTGTATTTGTTTGATATCACTTTTACTTGATTATTCCTTTGCCCCCCCCCCCTCCCCACTGAAGGTGTGATCGAGACTGTAGGATCTGAATGGCGTCCTCCCGTCTGCTATCCCTCACTAATGATTTAATTTACCTGCAAGACTAGTGACAAATAACTTGGTGACTAGTGACAAATAACTTGGTGACTAGTGACTAGTGACTAGTGACCGTTAGTCCTAATGTGACCAAACTTAGATCATTTTACGTTAATAGGTTAAAAGTATTTGACCTCAAGACTCTCTCCTGACTAGTAACCCTCTATACTATTCCAACCAAACTTGGGTCAGGAATGGCCATTGCCCTGTATTATGTTGTTGTTTATTTTAGGGGTGATTTTTGGTTATTATGAAATATCCATCCAAAGTGGTTGGAATATCACATTTCCAAAACAAAACCCCCGATCAAAAGATCTTCCCTCATCTATAATATGCTTTTTCTAAATTATTTGAGAGAACAATTAAAGGGGAAAAAGAGGCAAAGACTTTCAAAACACAATAATGAATTAAAATGATAATAATAATAATGATGATGATAACAATAATAATCATCATTATGATAATAGCGCCGCTATGCGCTTGGGAAGAAAAACAAAAGAAAAGCAAAGAGAAAAAAAATATATTACCGAGTTCATTTCATTTGGAATAAGTGGTGTTTTTGTATTAAGGCAGACAAAAAACTTATTTATTGTATTAATGTTTCTAAGAGGGCTCCGTTTGAAAGCAGTTTCTTTTAACTGAATCGGACTACCCTCCACTTTTTGTTATCAACTGTAATAAATAAATAAATAATTCAATAAGAGAGTAGGGGATGCTATTACAGTACATGAAACTGGACACCATTGTCAAAGAAAGCCATATACATATTATGATAGTTTCGAGGTTTCTATGTATAGAATAATCTGGTTGATGTGAATTTCATTTCTCTCTCTCTCTCTCTCTCTCTCTCGTATATTTAGATGAGAGAGCGACGTCATCAAGGCACAAGCAACTCCTATTGGATCGAGAACGTTCATTCACGAATCGCCGGATGATTGCCGCGCGTGCGCAGAGGGAATCACTGTATAATCGAGGAATGGATCTACCCTATCTCATGATGAACGAGGAGCTGACGGAAGGACTTGCACCAAACAGGAATAGGAGTACCACCATTCTTGCTGTGAGTACACTCATGTCATATTTTAATAAAAAGAAACTTACCGACTCCGGTTCCCTCTTCGGCAACGTGTTACACGGTCTCTCTATCTATCCCTGTCTGAACTTTTGCTTGAAAGCCGCAATTAATCGCAACTTCCAAAATCAAAGGCAAATCGTGAATACACTTTGAGCCATGGTGGGCTAAAAATTTACTTGCACTGGCTCAAAGGTCCATATTCTACGAATCCAGTTAAATCCCACCTTTGGTCTGTGATCACGTGATCACAAGGAAAACAAAGATTGCAGAATACCTTCCGTTGTTAAACCCGATTTTGAACAAAATTATAAAAAATTATAATCGGGTTTAATTTTTAGTAAAATGCGAGCCTTAGATTTGTTTTAAAAACGCGACTTTAATAGCGCAAGAGGCCATGTAGACATTGTTTTGTAGGCTAAGTACCGCCTCCCGTGACCATATAATACATGTTACACGTATAGGAACTAGCTTTATAGGCATAATTTAATTTCATAAAACTAGAAATATATGTTATTTTTTCTCCAGTGGAAATAGGCTCTCTCCATTTACAATCGGTGTCAAAACTCATTTTGAGATAGACAGTCTCAACACCTCTTTTTTCCCCTTTCTATAGGGTGAAGATGGGACGGACAATATCGAAGAGCAAAAGAGAGAGGAGAGATGGATGGAAGAGCTGGAAGAAGGTGGCGCCCTCAACGACATGAAGGAGAGTTTGTTGTATCCGTTGATTGAAGTTGAGAGGAAAGACGAAGGTATGATAATCGCTCACTATGTAACTCTTGAAAGAAAGAAGAAAAAACACTATTTTAGGAATATCACGTGATGTGAAGTCACTCATGAATAAAGAAGTTCCACATGTTTTAGTCTTGTAGAAAAAGAATACACAATTAAACTATTTCATACAACACCTACGTGGATCCTTGTCATTTGATTGGAGGATTGTTGGTCACATGATATTCAATAGATGTTCTATTGCACGGGCGTGATTTTGGTAATATTCGCCGTGCATTTTTGGTTATATATGCAGACTGCGTACCTCTCTGCCGTATCCCTGCGTGTATCTGACGCGAAGGCAATCTGAATGTAATCGAGAAGGCTTGACTCCAACTTTAATTTATCTTTAATATAAGGAGTAAAGCATAATTTGTTGATTAACGTTCTATTATATCTTCTTCGATGTTGTATAAAACAAATAATGAATGTTTTTCCATAACCATTCATTATTTGTATAATATCATTATGTTGATAAAACATATGTTTAAAGACTACGTATTCTTCGTTAACCTGATAAAGTAGTTTTAAGAGCTGGAGTCCAAATTGGCAACAAATCAATCCAAGCAGCTGCCGTTGTCTAAGGTTGCAGCATATAATCTACATGTCCGAGGTTCGAAGCCGCCAAGTATCATTGGAAAGCTTGAGTATAGTGATTTTGTTCACAAAGAAATATCGTTAATATTTCACTTTTTATTTGAACTAACAAGGGAATATCGAACAGGGGATGAAATATGAATACAAAAGCCTAATTGTGTCAAGAAATGTGCTTACCTTTATAGTAGGAGTTTTAAAAAAAAAATTGACAATCCTAAAACCTACAATTATTTGACACTTTTCCGATCACATCCGGCTCACGAAAATAAAAAAATGAATTTGTTCATGATCATGTTTATGATGTTATATGTCAGATTAGGGCCCAAGGAATCGCATGTCTACGTATCCGCAAGGAAGATCCAGTTAAGCACATCTTGCCTGACATACTTTCTCCTGGCGGCATCGAACATAGTACGAATGGAATGAGCTAGATATGACTCCTTGACCTAATAGAGGATTCGAATGATGCGATATACATGCATTAAACAAATAGATTATTAAAGTTATAAGCTTACAGAATAAACACACCTGGTTATAGACAGGCGCGGATCCAGGATTTCTTAGGGGGGGGGGTCCAAATTTGAAATTTTGCGAGCCAAATATTGGTACGTAATGGTGACCAACAGTGACGTAATGCGGGGGGGGGGATCGGTGCAGGGAGGGGCGATTTTCCCCTCCCTCCTCCGCGAAACGCGGAAGCTTTGACGTTTCATTAAATTATTAGAGAAAAAAGAAAATTCGTTGTACCATTCTCGCAAATAATTCTCGTCTGAATTTAGTTTTCCCCCTCCCACGCGAAGCGCGGAAAATTTTACGATTTATTAAATTATTAGAGAAAGAAGACGATTCGTTGTCGAGTTCTCGACTCTTAATCCTCGTCTGAATTTAGGTTCCCCCCTCCCGTGCGAAGCGCGGAAGCTTTTAAATTTCCTTAAATCATTAGAGAAAGAAGACGATTCGTTGTACCGTTTTCGACTCTTAATCCTCATCGGAATTTAGTTTTCCCTTTCCCGCGCGAAGCGCGGAAAATTTTACGATTTATTAAATTATTAGAGAAAGAAGACGATTCGTTGTCGAGTTCTCGACTCTTAATCCTCGTCTGAATTTAGGTTCCCCCCTCCCGTGCGAAGCGCGGAAGCTTTTAAATTGCTTTAAATCATTAGAGAAAGAAGACGATTCGTTGTACCGTTTTCGAAAATAATCCTCGTCTGAATTTAGATTCTCCCCCAACCCCCTCCTCCCGCGCGAAGCGCGGACGCTTTTACGTTTCATTAAATCATTAGAGAAAATAGACGATTCGTTGTACCGTTCTCGAAAATAATCCTCATCGGAATTTAGTTCCCCCTCCATCCAGCGCGAAGCGCGGAAGCTTTTACGTTTCATTAAATCATTAAAGATTCGTATTATCGTTCTCGCCTCTGAATCCTCGTCTGAATTCAGGTTCCCCCGTCCCGCGCGAAGCGCGGAAGCTTTGACGTTTCATAAGATTATGAGAGAAAGAAGACGATTCGTTGTACCGTTCTCGATTCTTAATCCTTGTCTGAATTCAGTCCCCCCCCCCTCCCCTCCTGCGCGAAGCTTTGACGTTTCATTATATTATTAGAGAAAGAAGACGATGCGTTGTATCGTTCTCTATACTCTTAATCCTTGTCTGAATCAGGGGCCAGTCTTAGGGCCCCTGGGGGGGGGGGGGTCGAGGCGGCGGAGCCGGCCCCGGAAGCTCAGGGGTTTTAGGCGTTTAATTAAGGTCAGATGAGCATTTTTTTGTATACCTTATTATGAAATGAGACTGGCACGTCACTATTTGGCGTAGGGTCCAGGGGGCGGAGCCCCAAAAAATCAGGGGTTTTAGGCATTAAATTACCGTCAGATGAGCATCTAAGGGCCCGCCGTTAACTATTCTTTCTTTCTTGCTCTCATTCTATTTTATTTCTCTTAATATACTTTTTCAAAAAAGTAGGGGGGGGGGGCCGATCCCCGCCGTACCTCGGGCCCTGACATGTAGGAATCTACTAAAAAGTGAGGAAAAATCTCGGAAATTATGTCATTTCAGCATTATTTGTAATCCAACGTTGTGGAATTAGAAATAAACCACGTTTGAATTTGATTTCCCCCAAGCCCCCCCCCTATCAGTACGCCAGTATCTCCTCTTTTTCTTTTTTCTTTCCCTTTCCTTCCTTCTCTCTTATTTTTTTGATTGAGGTTGGGGGGGGGGGGGGGTCAACAGCCTGGGAGGCAAGGCCCTTCGCCTTCCCCGATCTCCTTCTTCCCCCTTTTCTTTTCATCTTCCTTTTCTTTCTTTCCCTTTCTCTCTTCTTTCTCTTTCCCTTCTTTTCCTTTCTTCTCTTTTTTTTTTTTTTTTTTTTTTTTTTTTGCGGGGGGGGGGGGGGGGGGGGGCCAAGGCCCGCTCGGCCCCCCCCCCCCCTGAATCCGCGCCTGGTTATAGATATTAAACTGAATTGAAACATATCTCAGCCCTCTACGGTTCGCATATGTTAGTACTCTTTGTATTCGTTTTGGATAGTTAGCCCCCCCCCCCCCATTAGGGCAAGCCATACTCGATATGCAGGCTCCAGATTTACGCGCATGCGTATCATTTATTTAAAAATACATAACGTACATAATCACTTACATACAAACATAGATCGACCGATAAATAAATCATGATACACCCATCAATAGCAACTTGTTTTTATGTTTAGATGATGTTATCCCGAGATATGGACCACAGCGAACATTCGCCCATGACCTTAATCAGCGTGCTCTACGAAGAAAGGTAGGTCATAGTTTTGCCCTTCAGAAACTATTCTTCAAGATAATTGCCCAAATATTATGGCTTCCATTTCGTTTCGTTTTATTTCCATTTCCAACAAAATAAAATAAAGTACATGGAATTGCATTGTACATAGGACATTTGGATATTCGGTAAGTAGGGGGGGGGGGGGGGGGGGGGGGGGGGGGGGGGGGGTAGTGAGCACTATTTTTTTTTCTTTTAATTTCTCCCGAAAATTTGCAAATTGCGTCGGCCGAGAATTCGCTCAGTGCAGGGGGCGGGGGGGGGGGGGTGGCGGTAGTGAGCACTAATTTTTTTGGGCCCTCGGAAATTTGAAAAATCGCACCCCCCCCCCTGGATCCGCCACTGATAAAATGAGTGAAAGGGACAGGGGAAAAGGGAGACAAGGAGCGAGAGAGGATAGGACTCTTACTTATAACACACACAACAAAACACGGACAGACCGGAATACGGATGTCAGTACAAAATGAATGAAAATATTATATATATTATTGAGTGAAATAAAATTTAGTGAGGGAGAGCTGACGCTTGACAATCACGCAGAATTTTAAAAGAATTTTAAACTAGGGGCATTCTTGATGCTAACATCGAGAATAATACAAAGCTTTGGGCCTGCATAAATATGGATTTAGCGAGTATAGTTCCATTTAATGGCAGATGGAATTCGTCAGATTGGCGCGTGGGGTATTTGTGTATAGTTATATTTATGATGAATAATAAATAAAGACTGAGGGTAGCATATTATTATTTAACTGGTACATAAACTGATCGAGGTTATTACGATATAAATCATTTATCTTCAACATATCATTTTCGATAAACAAAACATCAGTATGGGATCTCCAGGAAGTGTTACAGATACACGCATAGCTTTCTTTTGTAGAAGTAGTATTCTATGAAGATAAGATTGTGTAAATTACCCCATACAATAATGCCATAATTTAAGTTGGGAAAAATTAGATTGGGAAAATTTAAAATTATCAATGCCATCAGTGTCCAGCACTCTCTTTAATTTTTCAAGTTGTTCTATGTACAGGGTGAAAAAAATAGTGAATTGGGATTTAAGGCTGGTTTATAAAGTCTAAAAAAATATCTTTTGCGTCGGAGGAATATATTTTTCAAGGCTTTAATTATCTAATCTGAGAGAAATATTGATTGATCGGCACTGAATCGTGAACGTCTACGTTGTTATATTTTATTTTTGTCACACGTGGTTTATCGTAGCGCTTGACGTGCACGAGGCGTCATTTTGCTCTATTCTGTAATCATTAGGATTGTCGTGCACGAGGCGTCATTTTGTTGACGTAGGACTGCGCCAGCGACTGATGTGGTATTTGATGCGCCTTGGGAAAGTCTATACAATAAGTGAATGTAAAATGATGAGTGTAAACATTGTGTCGAATTAAACTAGCGCATACACTAATTTCCTTTTCAGGTTTCGTTAACGTAGATAATAGCGCAATCCATTATTATTATAGCTCATATAATATGTCTCGATGTTGTTATATTTCTTTTGATGACGCCTCGATTTTGTAATATTTTCTTTTGATGACGCATGGTACGTTTGATAGGAGTCAACTAGACTGAGCTCAGATATTACGACCGATTCACGTCCTGTCTTCGTATGTATCCAGACATTGCAAAAAGGAGGAGTCTTTGTAAGTACATTATCTTGTTCTGTCCCGGCCTGGATCTACTTCAGGAAGTTTCTTAGATGTCTACTTAACGTAAGAATGATGATTGCTATTTTGTTGGTAGAATCTTTATTCCACAGTATGACAATTATTTCAATAAAACGTTAACAAAACAGATGCCATGTTCTCTCTTTAAAATATCAGTCCAAAATCTAATGGCCTAGCAGTATTAAGTAGGTTCTAGCAATGGCTGCACATTCTTAGTTACTATAAGGTCTACGATTATATTTTTAAATTATTATATTAAAATCTTGGTACAAAATAATTCTTATCATCATTCTAAGTGAACATTCTGATATCCCCTATTAATTGTCGATTCAGTTATTCAAAACTTTAGGATTGTTTTCCCTTTTTTAATGCAATGTATGCAAAATTAGAAAATTGATCAGAAATTCTTTTTCGAGAACGACTAAATGCTTAATACCTTAAGGACCTTTTACATTGAAGGCTATCTACCTACTTAGTTTGGGTATCAATCTAAAGTTAGAATTTGTTATGAATATCAGCCGATAGTCCTTTATAGCACCAAAGGACCGAAAGCAGTTCAAGATAGCATTTACTTCGGCGAGTTCGCTAAACTTTGAGTGTGAATATATATATAGTGCAAGAATTACGCAGTTCAAAAATCACGAATAGCTTCATAATTGTTCTGGAAAACTCTTATAAAAATTATAGAATTGTTGTATTGTTACGTTTTTCATTCCCTAAAGCCCTTATAGGATCGTCTTTTGTAATTTCTTTAATTTTATTTGTATACTTGTTTGCAGGGTTTGGTAGATGTTCTGTTCAGTGAACAACCAAGCCTGAGCCTGATAAGTAATGGAGCAGAGTGTATGGTCATGTCTAAACACTTCTTCCTTCAACACGCCAACGATGATATGCTACATAGGGTCAAGATATCGGTATGTACATTGCCAACATTGGACATGTTAAGGGAATTATATCATCAAAACACCCATGTGGTATTAAATTGGCACCATTTAAAAATCTTAAATCATCATCATCATCATCATCGTTTAATCAGTAGGCCTGTTTTCAACATCATCATCATCATCACTCTTATCACCTTCATGATCATTATCTTCACATGAGCTTAACCGCCACAACTAACCTCATCATCATACCACCGACAAAAATATCATCTTTATTTCAATCTTAAAGTTGGTTACCATTATAAAATGAAGTTAAGCTGTATCGTTACAGTTTTCCAGGAACTTATATAGTATTGTAGGAATAGTTGTTATTGATAAATCGAATGTACATTCCGAGCAGATATGATGGTGCGAGGACAGGCGCGCCTGAGGCAGTTTGGGATTGGGGGGCAAATATTCCAGGGGGCTCACCTTTCAGGCGCAGTGGCGTAATGAGCAAAAACGTTTGGGGGCAGAAGAAAAATCTGCATCACAACCACTCTTACATGTTACATGCAGGCCCCGCGGAACGATAATAACGGTATTAACGATCAGGAAGAGTATAGCGAGCGAAACGAGCTGAGCATAAATTGGCGTGTGTCCGTAAGCTCAAGTCGTTTAAGCATTAAATAACGGTCAGATAAGCATATTTAGATACCTATTTGTGACAAGCTGGCAGGTCAATAATTGGCGTGGGGTCCAGGGGACTGAACCCCATGAATGTCAGGGGTTTTAGGCATTTAATTATGGTCAGATGAGCAACCTGCAGGTGCCCGCCTTAGGGCCCTTGGTGGAGTCGAGGGGGCGGAGCCCCCGTAAGCATTTCATTACGGTCAGATGAGCATATTTTGATACCTCATTTGTGACACTGGAACATCACTCGTTCTTTCGTTCTGTCTTTCTTTCTTTTTATCTTTTACATACTTTTAAAAAAAAGTGAGGGGTGCTCGAGTCCCCGAGACCCGCCGTTTTTTTTTAGGCCCTGACGTGCAGGCTTCTAAAAAAAGCATATTTTTTGCCTGACTGTAAATTGGGGAATTTGTAATTTTCCAACGCATAAAAAAATATTTTACAACAGAAATTGAAAAAATATCCCAGTTAATCATGTCATTTTAACATTTGTAAGTCATTGGTATCGAATTAGAAATAAACCATGTTTGACTCGTATCAGTACGCCAGTGTTCAGGGGCTTACGTCATCTCACCCCTATAATAAAAAAAACACACACGCTTTCCTATCCTCGCACAATATTTCCACGATATGGGCGTATCACTATTATCCTTCATTGATAAGTATAGGGGCGTGTAGAATGTTTAGGAAATTTAATTCCTGTTTACTCTACTTTTCTTTGAATGGAATATAATTTGTATGTGATTCAAATCAGGTTTTATTATTTTCAAACCATTTTACTCCTTTACTGCTAATTTTTCGGGGGGAGGGGCGTTTGAGAGCGGAAATGCGTTTTGCCCCCCCCCCCCGCTTTTTCAAAATTTTAGAATTCATTTGGGTGTTTGATGGCAAACACCTGAAAATTGTGTAAAAAATGGGCTTTCTTTAGAGAAAAATCCCCCATAGTGACCCTTGAAATTGGGTAGGGCTTTCGAGGCTTGAGCGGCACACCCCCTTCCAAACCAAATCTGAGTACCCCCCCCCCCCCCCCCACGTAAACGTCTGAATAAGTGACGCCCGACATAAATGCTCCCAGGGAGTGGAGTACATTGGCAGGAAAGCTTGAATCCAATGACCGGCATAACAATATGCCTGTAAAGCGCTTAAAGAATGTATTAGTATTATTATTATCATTATGATAATTTTATTATTTGTATTTATTACTATTATTGTTGTAGTTATTGTCATTTTTATCATTGTTATTATCAATATAAATAGTATTATTATCATTATACTTCTGGTACTACCATACTACTACTAATACTACAACATGTATTATCATTATCAATATTTAATATCATTATTATTCTCAAATCTCCTGTGTTATTATGTTTTTCTTCAGATGATGCCGTTTGCTAAAGAGGATGAAATTCAGCGCAGTTTGGAGAACCAGCTCAGATGGGAAGCCTATAGAAACGTAACCATGGAAACAACTTTGTCAAGAATGCACATGAAGAAGTTCTACACAAAATGATATCAATATATGAAAGATGAAATATGTTGAGTATAAGAAGGAGAATGCATGACAGACAAGATCTTAAGAATGCATTAAGACATGCAGCTCCTGTCACACCAACACGTCTTACAAGATGACCAGATCTTGTCGACTTCCTTGATAGATCATGACAAGATTTGGGATCCCTAAATACAGACTTTCCTCCTGTTAACTTCTTTGTAATTAGAAAAGATCCTGCATGGGTGACGACGATGATGACCAGGATGGTGGTAATGGTCATTATAAGTAAAGACATAAAATATTTCTCTCATGTAAAACAAGAAGATCGGGAATTCGGATCTCGATCATGAAGTCAAATTCATTGGGACGACACGATAACATTATATGGACTTTATTGAATTTTCTCTTTAGATCTTACCAAATTTAAGAAAGTGCAAATATTACTAATGTAGACCAAATAATAGACCCTATGTGTACATAACTGTTATCAATTTTATTATTACTATTTCCTATGTAATTATGACAATGTATGACATACAAGTATGACAGATTATTTATTTTGTATGAAATGCGAAATCTATATATTTATTGTTAATATTAATAATAATATTGGGTTCTTGTAATGTTAGTTTACACTCACTTGGTTCATGTCTTGATTTGAATAAAGCCTCGATCTTACTTGCTAAGCCGACTTAGTTTGGTGTACGTGGCGTTGCACATGAATGTTACACGATTATTTATCCGATAAATTTAATTTTAGACTACATTTTTGGTTATACATGTAGTTAAACACTGACGATATCAAAAGAATAAAAAACAGAAACAGTAATTGCCTGCTGTCACTTGATATAACACTAGTGGCATACCCTATTTATAACCTTTTCTAACAAGGATTTTTGCAACAAAAGGATACTATAAATATTATGCTTATCTCTTTTAATTACATATATCAGCTTCAGTAAACCTCACTATCGAATGGTCACACTTCACCGTAGCATGATATCAATGTACATTCTATCAGATTATTAGTCTTATAATGTATACCTATAGCAAAATTGTTTCATCAATGTGTCAACCTCGTTTTCATTATCTTAGGAGTCATAGTGCAACGAGAATACATGTAATTGAGTTGTTATTCTTTGTATTTCTTTTTTAAGTGGATTAATCTCTCAGCCAAATCAAAGTCTGATGTGATCAGGTGTATATTCCAGTTTAAATTAAATCACTTATATTCAGTTGTAACTGGATATAAATATTAATCTATCATCTATGTTTTGGGCTGAATGATCCTAATCGTGGAAATTACAGCTCTCCCACCTCGCGAAGGACTATACCTTACTATTTATAGAGTAGAATATTGTATGAATGTTGCTTTGAGTTTGTTTATACATGTTTTATCAATGTTTGTTGATGAAGAAGATAATACAAGTGCATTTGAAAAACCATAGGCTTTCATGATAGGGGTTCCTTTTCTTTTAACTCCACAAAATGATACAAAGAGAGCGAAAGAGAGCGAGAGACAGAGAGAAAGAGATATAAAGAGGAGTAAGATCTCAAAAGTATTCCACATCTGACAAACTGAGATGCTTTTCTATAATATTCCATTTTCTTTATTTTTTTTTCAACTAGAAAGAATGGTTAAGTAACATTTTAATATAACGTCATGTACGAGCATATGCATACTAGACTTGAACATGCATATGAGCATGTCCTTGAACTATTTTATGTACATATCATCTCATATTCATGTATACATATATAAACCTGCTTAGTAATATAATCAAACTGTTTTCTAACACACAAAGAAAAATCGGCAGGACCGGTGCAAAAATATCAATTACAACAAAAACACAAAAAGATAAATTTGTTACATAGATTTCCCTATCAATCAGGATTGAGTGCCCTTTAAATATAAACACACAACCGTCATTTTAATGGTAGATTCCAATGTTTCATGCTATACACAAATGATAATTAATACCAAGCTAAGCCATGATTGAAGATCAAAGCATTCATTTCAAAAGTCAAGTAATTACTAACATAATTACACAATAACCTCAATAAACACCCCCTTAATTGGAATGGAATTGGCCAAGTCATTCACACAAGTGAAAGACTCTCTTGCATATTCCAAATTTGGAATGCATGATATTCTCCATATAAGGCACTGGCATGGTACAGATAATCAGCGTTTTAGTGGATCACATTAATCAATTCTGAAAATTCCTCTTGTATTTCATAGTTTGACAATCACCAAAAAACACCGTCACTCTACAGCGACCATGCACAAAAACTTCATAGGGTTAAAAGAAATTTCTTGTATAAGCACTGTAGGTATATAAATCAAATCTCCCACTTCCAGATCAAATGCAATCACAAATAGTGTCTTTGGTACTGTTATTGCAATAATATCCTTTGTTATATATTTGTAACTAAAGTATCACTGCACACAGTTTCTTATGAAAAAGAAACACAAAATAAAGCTTTAAAACAACTACAATTGTTCTGTGCTGCATATGAAATTTTGAAACACAACAGCTGATCACCTAGCTGAGAATCACACCATATATTGCATTGATACTTCTTTCAGTATTGTCCTCTACATCATACACAAGTTGTTTGATTTTTTTTAAACAGTTAAAATTGTTCCATTAAGCTACACAAGAGCACTATATTTGTTGAATAATAGCAAATTAATGATTGCTATCCCCCACCCCTTCATCCTTTGAAGTCACAAATACCCCTGATCATCCAATCATCTAAAAATCTGCAGCTTCGCATTTTTCAGTTCATTCTTTAAATCATATTTTACATTCAACATTATGCTGGCTTTTTAAAATTTTGTCACAGAATATTATACAATAATTCACAATATTACATCTCAAAGCTGATCCCAAACACATTCAGCTTCTCATTATTGATTGATTTTTAAATATTCTATATCATAATATCAACAACAATAATACTACTATCAATACTACAAATAATAAAAACAAATTCATAAAACAGACTTCCACAAAATGGAAGATAATTAGTATCATACATGTACAAGTAATTTCACGGTTACTGTATCCATTACAAGTCTATCTGGAAACTTTCTTATTCACATTCAAATTTCATGCACATAAATAGAATAAAAGGAACAGATGTTACACATGGACTCATGGAGCCCATCCATTCCATAATAATTTAAAGAGAGGTACTTCAAAACATGAAATGCATACAGAGTAGAAAGTAATTACAGTCTTGAAGCTTTACATGCCTTTTTGATTTATTTTACAGGGAAATTGACACAAAATTAAATTATAAAAACATTGTGAAATGGAGCAAGAGTATACCAGTCTGAATTGTAGTTTCCATCCATCGTGCATCATAAGTACTTTACCTTGCTTGCTTTAGTACATACCCCTTCTATCACTGTTTGTTTCGTCTATGTCATTCATTTCTACTTCTAACATTCAGATAGTGGTGGTTATTTTACCTGACAGCTAAGAAAGCAATAAATGCTCGTTAGTAAGCAACCAGAAGACCGACGGCTTAAGGTCCTCTCTGAGGGACCTGGTAATGAGGATTAATGCCTTACCAAAGGGCACTAGCGCATCAACTTCGTTTTGAACCCGGGTCACCGGATAACGAGACCAATGCTCTACCGACAGAGCTATCGCGCCTCTTAAAGTTTTTGGGACTTGCAATCGTTGTCCTCACCAGAATGTAGGTCAATTTTACATGTATGTGAATAATCCCTTTTGTGGTGCACATTTGCAGTTGAACCTTTTTGCGCTAATCATTTCACATTTTGTGGTTTGGCTCAATAACTTTTGATTCAGAGCCTTAAAAATTATACCAGATACATGAGAAGAAAGGGCAGTATTTCTGCACACCATGTCCATTTTTATTGTACATGTATTACCATATTGTGTTTCATGCTAGAATCGTTAACAATGTTAAATTTGAGATGCACGGCCCTACGTGTTATTAGTGTCTGTGATATGGTGTTATATTGAAGCCCTAAAAAAATTGCGCTTCAAAATGATCAAGAAGTGCATCAAAAAAGAAAAACACTTTGAGTGACCGGTTTTACCATACTTGTTTTCCCCAATAGACTGGAGGGTAATGAAAATCGTTTGGCAAACGCAAAAGTTGTTTTTTGATTTTCAATCATAAATATCTTGGTAATCAGACAGGCAATCGGCTTGTAAAAGTCATGGGGTTCCTGACTGACCTGAAGGTTTATAATTATCATTGCAGCATGAGCTAAATCAAGGATTTTTCAAAAGGATTTAAGACAAAGTTACCAGACCCCTTTATAGACCATTAAAATAAATGCCCATTTCATAATTTATGTCACAATTGCTGGCTAGATATCTGTGTCACACACTTATATATTGATCACACATGTATTTTACAAATCAACACATTAAGTTGAGCAATGTCTAACTTGTATGTGTAGTCTACAGCAGCTGGTAATCAAAACTGAGAGTAATTCAAAAACAAAACATAAATATCATTAACTAATTACATTGCATGCATACTTAACGATTGAGAAATAATATAAAATCATATAGCAGTAGTCAGTATAGTTAAAAGTGATGTATAAAGATGTGATTTCAAAAGAACTACATCTACATGCACGTCTAATATCAATGCAGTAATATGAAATATTTTATTGGCAAACTGTTGGTGAATGACAATAATAATGAAAATGATAATAAAGCATATATCTTTAAGCATTGCATCGAGATACATAGCAAGACGATTCAAATTATAAAACTTAAACCATATTTTTACTTCCTACAAATACTTCTGCTTTGAAGATATTTACAATGTTGTCAAATATTTACAAACTAAGCAAATGTTTAAGAGATAGTACTATTAAAGACGGAGATAGAACGTTAACAGATAATGTTGAGATAGAACGTTAACAGATACTGATGTAATTTTCACTGTTATCATGAAATAGAGAGAAATGCAAGCAAAACAACAGCAACTATACAAAACTCTAGAGAACAATGAGAAGCGAGAGAAGATTGAACATACAAATGAGTGGTCCTATTTAAACATACCTCAGAAAAATTCTGATCTAAGGAACCACAATAAATCTAGAAGATGGCAACATCTTAATACTGCTTTAAGCTCAAATTTTATAACAAGTACGTATTGTGTATGTAATGGCTTGATCATCAGAGAAAACATTTTACTGATAAATTCAGACCAAGAAAAAGCCTGAATCAACTTGCTGTTCAAACCACAAAAACATCAAGATATTTACCAACACAATATGAAGTACATGGGACTTAACAGCTTACTGAAATGTTCCCTGAATTACTGATTAATTACAGTGGAATGTTCAGAAAAAAACAGAAGTTTAGTTGTTCAATCTTCAATCTTTAATGAATCTATTAATCAAGAAATAAATTCTTACATGTGGTATGTATAAATAATCTAACTTGAGAAGTTCTCTCAGGAAGTGCTAGAACACATAATTCAATGATAGAAAAAAAAAACATACAACTTTCATACATTCAAATGGTAAGGCTTTTTCAAAAGGGAAGAATGTGCACACTTGCAAGAAAAAGAATCAGCAAATAAAACCAACTATATCACTAATATCTTTGGCTAGAGAGTTACCTAACATGCATGAATGTTGAAAAGGTAGAAAGGTATTAAACCATATCTGTTAATGCACAGCTCAAACCTTCTTGGTTGTCAGCAATAGACTTCTTTCTCATTTTTCTTCAAGTGACCGCTATACAATCAAACCTAAGGAATAAACCAACATTTTTTACCATAATATTTCACCTTTAGTGGCCTGTTCAGTCAGAACCTATGTAGCAACCCAACCCCATCATCCACCCCCTTTCAACTAGTAACCCCAGTCTCTTTTCTTGGTTTCCTCTGAAACATTTCTCTGTAACAGCTTCCGGGAAGCAACAACAACAAACAATAAACAGAAAACAGAATCAACATCAAATTTTTCTTTCTGTTGAGTTGTAGAGTATATCTATACAAGTTGGACAGGATTCATTGTAAAGATATTGTGCATGACATCAGTTGAAACCATTCATCATTGTATCTCCCTGCAGTTTCATTTGTAGTACCCACAAGGATGACCATAGTGCCACAATTCATCTGCAACCTCTTGGTCCTATAAGATTATTATCATTAAAACAGGTCTTCTAAGCCAGCGAACAATGAAGCAGATTCATGGCTGATTAGTTGATTACATAATACCTGGTGCATAGACAATCACAAACAACATATTGGTATATATATATCAATATTAATAGATAGAATTCACAGGCTTCATATAACAAATCATTTTCATAATCATGTTTGAAATCAGCTTGTGATATTTGTACTATGATCTATTTGCACATTACAAAGAAACACATATTTACACAGAGAATTTGCACCATCTTCTAGAACTGAAGAAAAAACATATTCAGATTTTAAAATTATATTGCTCTAGTCACATCTGTCCTAGAATTTTCATTCTTTTCTTCCACTCTCAATTTATAACTAAAATCCCCTCTCATCTTTATCTGTAGATCCAAACTCAATATCATTTCTCAGTTATTCATCAAGCAGTTTTAATTATCTTTTAAAAATCCATCACCCATGTTTTCCTCTCTTAACTTAAAATAAGAAATTTTATTTTGTGTGTGTGTTTGTGTAGAGACATTTGATCATACGAGTCAAATATTAATAATGAGAGCTTTGGAAGTACAACTCAAATTTGCTGTAATAATGTCAAAATGACAAAATTAACAATTGTTCTAATATCCAGAGTTGATAGGGTGTATGCTTGAAAATCTTTGATGTTGAACATTGTGAGCGTGAGCATCAAAGGTCACAATATGACAAGGTGCCAATGGTGCATTATCACTGTAGTACTATTGAAATGGTCTCGATATAAGATGATGATCCAAATGCTTCAGATCCCAGATATTGGTGATATACCACGGATATGTTTATATGATCTTGGGAGCTGTTTCAGAAGTACCTCAATGTAGTACTGTAGCTTCATGGCTTGGTCTCTAAAAGGTACATACTGCCACATCAATAATGCGGATGCATTTCAACAATACATGTATTAGCATGAATCATCAACAAGCATCACACCTTACAAAGACATCCTACTTATTACAATATGGTGAACATTTAGGTTATTCGCTACGAAGGTGTGCTCTTTGGATACATTAAGACTGACAATAACAATCTCAGTCCAAGTAAAGAAAAACATCAAAAGTAATTAAGGAAGTCTCTCAGAAGTAGTATTGTTCTTTCTGTAGCTTTCTCAAAGGATTCATCAGCCTTCATCCAAGGCACAAATAAGGTGATCAGCTTGCTTTGTATTAGCTAAGTGAATAGAACGTTAGTCTCGTAACCCCTCCGCCCGCCTACGGTTCAGAACTGAGTTGCTGTTTTAAAGCTCTTAAAGTGAGCCATACAATACTGAATAATGAATTCCCTATGACAGGGTTTCGAGATATAGATTACATCTACAAGCATACATTTCTTATCTTTGCAGTCAGGTAAATAAATATACACATCAATGATAATGAGGTGAAAGATGAAAGAAAGAGAGTGCTGTGTCTAGCTATGTTGGCCCATTGTGAGGGTGTAGTAGTGGCCCTTTCTTGAGACCAGCTCCTGATGACGTCCTTGCTCCACGATGTTTCCATCCCGAATAACAGCGATTTGGTCAGAATTCTGAATGGTGTTGAGACGCTGGGCAACAACAATCGAGGTTCGTCCATCCATGGCATTGTCCAGTGCATTCTGTACAATCTGTAGCAAGATGAACATGGAAATCAGCTCCTTATCATATCCTGCTTAGTGCTCTCTCTCTCTCTCTCTCTCTCTCTCTCTATATATATATATATATATATATATATTTACTTATTTATTGCCTCTAAAAAATAATAATAGCTAGTTAATATATAGTGCTTTTCAGGACCAAAGGCCCTCTCAAAGCGCTTTACAGATATAAGGTAGCACAAATATGGTAGTTTTCGTACAGTTGTATATATAGATTCCCTACTAAATATTAACATTATTTTTCTTCATATTTTTTCAAATCCTACCATTGGTTACTTTTCTTGAAATTCAAATTTTGTTTTCCCTTGCATTTTAGTACAGATGAGTATAAAGTGCACCAATTTCCACAGCTAAAGCATGAAATTGGGAGATTTCAATTGAAAGTTTGTTTTTGTAAAAGTTAGTGGCATTGTTACCAGATACAAGTGGTGTATGGATAATTTTAAGGGAATAAAAAGTATCATTACCTGTTCACTCTCAGTGTCCAGTGCTGATGTAGCTTCATCAAACAGAAGGATACGAGGATTTCTAGCCAGAGCTCTAGCGATGGCTACTCTTTGCTTCTGACCTCCAGATAACTGAGCTCCTTTCTCTCCTACTAGAGTATCATAACCCTGCAAACAATCAAATATTGAGTCATTTAGTATTGTATTAGTATTTTCATTGTTATCTATTACCAAATAGTTAAAAAGTTAAACGTTCATAAAATTATTGCATGATACTTTAGTTTATAAACAAATCTCAGCCCGACACTAACGTCCTTTGGCAAGACATTTGCCACTTTCCACCCAGGTGCTAAATGGGTACCCGGCAGGATGCGAACGTTAATGAAGTATGCTCAGCATTGTGAGCATCTGTAAAATGGTGCCTGTCTGAAATACTCCCCAGGGAGTGGAGAATGTGCACACAATGTGTGCGGGCGAGCTTGAATCCAACGATTGGGTATTTATATCTCTGTCAAGCGCTTAGAGACATCGTTGATTCATAAACATTATATAAATGCAGAACATCATTATTATTAAGCTAGTCAAGGAAATTCTAGCTACAAAATAAAGATGTGAAAATGTAAAATATGCTAATAGATGAATGTAACTTTGTTGTTTGTTGGTAATTTGCTAGTGTAAAGAAACTCACTACTTTATACATGATAACCAATGCGGAATAACTTTAAGCAGAAAATGAGTGCAGTTGTTTACATACCAAAGGCAGAGAAATGATGAAATCATGGATATTAGCCATCTTAGCAACCCTTTCCACTTCGTCCTGAGGGAGCTCATCTTCCACACCATAGGCAATGTTATCACGGATAGAACAAGCAAATAACACTGGCTCCTGGCTTACAATACTCATATTAGACCGAAGCCACCCGATGTTCAGGTCACGCAGGTCATTCCCGTCAAGTTGCTAGAAAACAAAAAAGCAAAGGTGTGATGTTCTATATTTCAAATATTATGCAAAATCAAATGGCATGTCTTGTTTGTTTTATGGAATTGTAAACACAAATTGACATCAGAATGTTGTTTCATTTGATGTTTTGTTTGATTAGAGCTCTAGTACGGCTATCAGAATGCTGGTCATCAGAAATTCTGAAATCTTAGATGTAATCAGTAGCATATGGGACAAAATACCTTGGAATTGCCCATAAAACAATGAAATACTCCATCATCAAAACCTAGAGGTACTTAAGCATGATAACTTGGTTTGGGGACTACACAAAGAAAATTTAAGGAGAAAATGTGTACTCACAATGGATCCACAGTTAGGATCATAGAAGCGTTCCATCAGCGCAACCATGGTGCTCTTCCCACATCCACTCTCACCAACCAAAGCCATTGTGTGACCAGGTTTTATGTTTAGATTCAGACTGTCCAGAATAGTGCTACCAGGACGGTTGGGGTATCTGAAGGTCAGGTTATTGCACTTGATGGCGCCATCAATCTTTAGCTGTCCAATCAAAACAATGGTTTTTGGTATTTATTGAGAGATCAAAGCTAATAGACTAGTTATGTGTTCATATGTGATGATGATGTGCATATATGTACATGTTAACCCATTGCTTACTAGAACCGGGTGTTCCCTGTATTAAGCCTATAGGGATAAGATAATTCAGTAGTCAACAGGTTAAATGCCTCACATAATATTGACTTATAAAGACACTAAAATGAAGGTCTCAAGGGCTGCTTTTGGTCTTTAAATAAGAACAAATGGAGGAACTTCAGGGGTTAGTAAACACTTAGTTGCTGAGTGGGCCACTGAATATCTTCAAGATCAAAGAGTACCAACCACCAACAAGTATAGCGTTCTATATATGTTAATGGTTTTAAGTCCCTACACTATATTCAAAAATAAGAACTTCAAACAACATGACTTCTATAAGAAGATATTGCAAATTTAAATCCACTCTCAATTACCCCCCCCCCCCCAAAAAAAAGAGGACTTGTGAGTAGACTACCTGACACACCCATACACTCTTGCATAAAATAGTACCTGCACGGAATCCAAGTCCAACTTTATATTCCGTGCACGTGGGTTTATATTATTCTTTATTTCCTTCTTACTACATGTCTGTTAGCCCATTATTATGGTTATTGCTTACTGGCTTGAGTCCTTCTGTGGAGTAGTTATCGATGGTTGGTTTGAGACCAATCAGTGTGATGAGCTTAGCTGCTGACATTTTAGCCTTGCTGAAGTCTGGCATGAATGCTGCTGCCTGGCCTAATGCAATACCTGCATAGGTGATCACAATAATCACCCTGGACAAAGACACAAAAGGGAAAACAATTATACACAAATATCAATATGAAAAAGAAAACCATACCTACATAATGAAGGAATGTTTAAATATCAATGTATAAAATTATAGAAAAATATTACATTTCAAGTACAGAGAAATTCATGCAAAAATATAAAGCTGATAGCATCATTTCACAATATACAGTCCCCTTATCTTAAAAGGAAACTACGCCCATGTAATGAATTCATTTATATGAAAGCAGAAAAATATGAGAAACAGAAGGCACAAGTTTGAAATAAATCAGACCAATAATAAGAAAATTATGAATCTTTGAAATATGAGATCGCTAGAGCTATGCAAATCTCAAAGAGGCAATTCTGTCAGTGGGTTGCGACGTGGTCACCAAAAACATGAAATTGTTTTTTCTCCTCAAAGGGCCTTCTACCTCAGGGGGACTACTCAAAATACATTATGGATAGTATATTATTGAAGGTCTTCTAAAGTGAAAAACCTTCTAGAGTCATACATTTTGAAGAAAATAAAATTACATTTTGTGTTTTGGAACAAATGGGAAAGTTGTCCAGCACTACATGACAGTGACATAAAAGATTTAGCCAATATGAAGGTCCCATACGTAAAGTGATTACAACCTTCAAAAATGTGTAACCTTTATATTTTTGTCTGTTTTCTTTCAAACTTTCACCAATTTGATTCTCTGATTTCTTTTTAGAATCGTTTGCTATCAAAATTGTGTTTTCCTTCAATCATTGTTGATATCTTTACAAGGTATGGCAGATCAAAATATTCTGCTTGCTTGCAAACTAGTTCTAAAGATAAGCTTGATTAAATATAATTGTATAATATATCCAGAGTGTTATGGACAGCACAAAAAGCAAAGACAAACATGATCATGATCATACAAAGTGCCAAGTTGGCTTTGCATCATGGTATTATAAGGTATGAAATATTCCTGCAATGCAAAAAAACCTGGGTCGAGTGTGGCAAATGTAGATTAATGTCTTGCCAAAGGACATTAGTGCCGCTGCGGCACTCGATACCGCGGGCCTTGTGATCCACAGTCCATGATGTATCCACTCAACCATGATACCTCTATATGATATCATGAATGGTATTTGCTAGCAAGTATCCTATTGACGAAAAGGGTTTCATGTGACGTTGAACAATACTGTTGGCATGGTCAAACACATACAAACATCATGAAGGCAAATAATCAACAGAGCCTAACTCAAAAGATCAAGGAATGAGATCGTAAATACCCACAACTGTACATAACAAAATAATACATGCATGCTGTTCAATAAGACATATATTAACCTCCAAATTCCGCATGCTCCTCGTGCCATTATATTTCAACCTTGGCCTGCAGCCTGGGTGAAATATAATATCAATCAGGAAAATGTAGAATTTTTTGGTTCATATATTTTGTTATATTGAATGCCAGAGCATGCAATATTTCTATAATGTGGGTCAGTGACACTTACTTAAACATAGCATCTGAGGACATTTGACCGATAGCTACTAGATGACCACCAAACCTAAAGGCCCCTGCAAAGAGGAAGAACACTGATGCCTGGGAGCAACAAACTGCAAAGGCAAAGAAGAACTTGTGCTTCTGGATTTTCCTGTGGTAATAAGAGCACAAACATGATGTTACAGATTGACAAATAGTCAGTGATGGAAGTTGTAGAAAACACGGCTAAGAGTCCATAGATATTAAGAATCAACACTTGTTTTCATCTATCAGATATTCCCAATCTTATTACAGACCAATGACATCATTCCTCTAGTATACAACTTTCGATCAAGAAAACAGAACTATAAGAGATTGGTGGTATATATTGTTATAACTTACTTGAGAGGTTCACGAAGTTTTTCACAGTAGAAATGATATATTCTTTCCTCCAGATTGAGGGATGATACCGTTGTGATGTTTTCTATCGCTTCACTTGCAATCTAGGAAACACAGAAATAACACCTTTGATATGTGAATGCAACATATGATTTACTTCTTACCCTGAACATTGCTGGATGAGATTTTGTTAACCTGTTTACTTGATTCTCCCAATCACCTACGCTTTATACAGGAATCTTCTAGTTCTAAAAGGGAAATGGTTTCATAAATTTACTCTGTTCATATACATACATGTACCTACAATGTATGACAAATGTAATACTGTACGCAAATCTTAGAAATTAAAATTCTACCAATATGCCCTCACCTCCTAGTAATACATTGTATAATTTGTTAAAGCTTATCTTTCTTTAATGAACTGATCACCTTAACATCGATACAACTCTTTTCATTTTTGAATATAATATAACATCCCCTCATTGAATGTATCAGGGTCAAACTCAACGTTAATGGTATAGTCAACAACAGACTTGAAATACATTCTAAGCTTGAACTGGGGAAAACTGTACACCCCTCGTTTACCTCTGATGCTTCTTGGAGAAGATGTGAGTCTTGTTTCTGGGTGCCTGTTAACATTGCCATCTGAATACGTCCCCAGAATGTCATGAGAGGAACAGCACATAATGTGAACAGGGCCAGCTGCCAGCCATAGATAAATGCAATGATAACAGCGATGAGCACGGTCACAAACTCGTGCATGAGGGTGCTGATGCGAAGACCAGTAGCCTGTAAGGTAAAGCCATATGTGGAATTGAAGGGTGATTTCAACACTTATACATAAGAAAATAAATCTTGGGTATGTACAGAGATTGATTTTTTGGTAGGATTGAGTGAAAGGGGAATTTGTGATAAGTCTATAGATCTAATTGAAGAATGAACATAGATTGCTGTCTTTACTGCATACATACTGCAAGCCATGATCTAGGCTGCTAAATCCAATAAAAACATATCAAAGCAGAAGAGCATTTCAAGTATTGCCAGTAAAAAATACATGCCCTTTTAAATCATAATTACGTATGACACAAGCCGTTCCCCCCCCCCCCATCTGTTAATTAAGCTCAAAGTAAAAACCAAGCAATAACAATAGCACTTTTTGAATAAGACAACATTAATTTCTTTACACCATCAACATTGTTTTTTTCTTCTTTTCATTCTGATAAGATGATATGGTATCTTACCCCTTGAACATTGGAAGCATCAGTAGCGAGTACATTAGCCAAAGAACCTGTGTTATGCTCAGGTTCATCAAACCACGCTGCATCCTATTCACAACAAACAGAAAAGACAAGAAATGTGAAAATATCTTCAACAATTAACATAGTAAAAAAGGCGGGGGCGAGGATATGAATCAAACCAACATCTAATAGACTGTTAATGATGTTTTGATCTATTTTCTGTGAAATAAAATACATGTAGTAAACTAGCCAATAAGTTCTTTGTCTAACTTATTCATGAATATGTATATACCAGTATGATAAACACACAATGTAATTTCTTTACTTATATATGATGATGCACAGACAGCTGAAATTATATCAAATCCACTCTAGTGCAGTTAAAAATACAAACTCATGTATGGACCAACAAAATCTGGAAGGCAAAACACCCTGATAGATTTCTTTAAATGACACGGTACTTATATAGATGTATTTCAAGGTATTGAGGGGATACTTACTTGTCTCAAGATTGCCCAGAATGCTTTCTTTCTGAGCCTGAGAGTAAGGAGTTCTCCTGAGATACTGAACATGAGCATACTGACGAAGATACTAACAGCTCGCACTACACCCAATACAATGAACATGAGGGACCAGAAAGAAGCTGCAGCGACCATCTCATCGGGTGGCAAACTAAATATCTGTAAGAATCAAATTATATATAGGTACTTGGTCAGAAGGTCCAGAAGGTAATACTAGTAATATTATAATAATCTGCTTCTTGTATAGCATTTATGTGATATTCCTGGAATTCAAATACCATTTAATCTGGGTTTAGCCCCATTGATAGTTAACTCTAAGAAGTACCTTGGGAGGTAAATACTGCCAAAATTTGAAGACTGGACTAAATACAGCTTATCACTTTTCTCGAAATTAAAAATGGGTTTGTAAAGATATTTTTGATCATGTAACAACGTTTGGACTAAAATGGAAAACGGACAAAAAGAAATTATCAAACCTGCTTAGAGAAACTACATTTGTTGAACATTAAAAAAAATACTCCAAAGTGTAAGAGCACAGGCAAGAAACCTGAATGATTTTTACAGTGTAATTAATCAAAGGTTCTAGCAACTCTTTCAGAACTTGCATAGAAAACAGAAAACTGTTGAGGCAATTTTGTCTTTTCTTTCCTTACTACAATTATGAATGTCTTTCTGTTCCTACCTGTACTAAAAGGCTTGATTCACTATTTGGCTAAGAACAAACCACTTCTTTTAAAACTGTAGACTGTGCTCAAATGTATATCAATGTTTACATACAAAACACAAAGTAGATTCTTGTACTTTGTTAAGATTTTTTACAAACAAAGCAATTTATTAAATTCAATCTACGATTTAGAAACAAGATAAGAATTAAACATATTTTCCTGTGTAAACATGAAAATCTCAGGAAATTTGTAATATTCTGATCACAATTTAAATCGCACTATTGTGTGTTTATGTTTTTGAAAAAAGTAAAAGAATATTTGCTATAACAAAAGTCAACGGAACACTCTGTATTACAACCAAGGACAGCAGAAGTGGGATAAGAAAATTGACTTCACGTATCCTACATGTCTACATGTGAACTGCCATAAGAGGTGACATTCGGATCCCTGTTCAAATCCCAGGGGGGAGGGGGGAGGGGGTTATGTTTGAAAAGGTTTATGGTGACAATTACCCTAATGATCTCAGTAAGAAGAATAGCCAAGGTGGGTAGAGCTGCACCAAGGAACGCAGCAAAGATGCATCCAATGATGATGTAATGACACTCAGGTTTATTCAGTCTCAAGATGTCCCAATACGAGAGCTTAGGCACACTTGTGAAGGTTTTCTGTGCAGGAAAGTAAGCAACATCATTATTATAAGCAATATCCCTGCAGTTACATGATTATGTATTGAATGGGCATATGCATACCACAGTTTCCTGTGTTGTGGATACACAGGCATGATGCAGTATATTAAGCACAATATTGCTTGGTTCTGCTGATTAACAGGACACTTGACTTTCATCTTGAGGTATAGAACAGTTATGAGATCACCTCAGGGGAACGGTTTCAACCTTTACCCCTCTATCAAAGTAGTCAATATTTGTTTAACAGATTACACCCACTCAACTCTCTTGCATAACTGGAATTCCCAATGCTTTAAAGGCATATTGAAAAAAAGGCAAGAAGTCTTCATTGCACAGAGGTATGCATGTAGACCTCTAATCATGGAATACAGGGAAAAACACAAAGTAAAACTATAATTTTTAACAAGACATACCAAAGATTTTTGTCTAGCACACATCATAGTCAAACACAAGAATAAACAGAAAACCATAATTATGCCTTAGTTCAAAGTCAGTTTTATGTTTGTTATGTTTTCATTTTTTTTAATTAGCCCTTTCTTAAGACACAAAATATCAATATTTATTGGAAAAACAGCTCAAAGGGCTTGTGATATCTGATAAGGCCATTACAAACACAAAGGCATATCTTAAATTTCTCTGTTGAAATTCATAAATATGTAATTACCTAGGTATACTAGGGACTTTCAGATTTGCATGACGAGAACGTGAACTGCTATATGTGACATCCTTTTAAGGCAATGTAATGTCCTTTTAAGGCACGTCCAGGCACTGCCAGTGCCTTAAAAGGATGTCACATGTAGCAGTCCACGATCCCGTCGTGCAAATCTAAAAGTCCCTATTATGTAGTCTGTGGGTTTTTTTAGCAGCAACTCAAAAGCATCAACAAACAGCGTTGCATTTACCTCTTTCTTGTGTTTCTTGTTCTTTTTCTTGGTTTTAATGGAAGGCTCCTCCTCTCCCATGTGTACTTTCCCATTGCCATTCACTGGAACAATGAGTTCATCATTAACACTGCTATATTTAACAGAGTCAGATGATGGTGATGAAGGCACTGAATCATTAAGAGAAGACTGACGACCAAGGCTCCTTACATCATCATCTGAAACAACATCCAAACACAAACAAGAAAATATTCATGGCAATGACCAAGGTTTGCTGCCTTTTTCTTTTCTTCATGTGGAGCAAAGAAACAATTCTCTTGACCCATGCTGTTTTCATTTTGAAAAGTTGAAATAGTGCTTTATAAATACACATTACTATTGTTGTTGTTATCGTTTGCTGTTATTGTTGAACTTACAGTTGTTGTCATCTTCCTCATCGTCATAGTTATTACTATTATAAATATCATACTCTCTATCTGAAATAGTAAAACTATCAAGGGGCACATACATGTATCCTTTTGCCAAGGTAATGACCAAGCTTTCCAAAACATTTATCTTTAGCAGTAACATTTTAATACATTGTCATGGCTACGGCCAATGTCTCTTCTAGTGCCATCTACAAGAGGAACGTTTAAACTAGTCAGTGGGATTACATTCATACTATCATGGTGGATCAATGCTACTAAAGAGACATTGCATCAATGTGTCATATAGGATGCTAAAGGATAAATATACATTGTGGGGGTCGTAGACTAGGTCGTTCAAAGTTTGACACCCTGGAATAAGACAATTGTAACTGGCCACTACAAAATACTATATAAAGGGATGTAAAGGGCGTACCACTCAGAATGGATTCATCTTGCTTTTTGAACATCTGGAGTGTGACAAGTTGCCGGTAGATACTCTCTCTGTTCATGAGCTCCTTGTGGTTTCCTGACTCAGCTACATGACCTTCCTTCATCACAAAGATGAGATCAGCATTCTGGACTGTAGAGAGACGGTGGGCAATCACCAGGGTCGTTCGCCCCTCTTGGGCCTAAACACAGTGGAAAATAAGGCTACAAGTAAATCTAACATTCTACACTGAATTTCTCCTCTCTCTCTCTCTCTCTTTCACCCTTCCTCCCTCCCCCTTTCTTTCTTTCTTTCTTTCTTTCTTTCTTTCTCTTTCTCTCTCTCTTTCTCTCTCTCTCTTTCTCTCTCTCTCTTTCTCCCCCCTCTCTCTCTCTGTAATCTACCAGATGATTATATCAAAGTTAGATATTTGTTGGTGGTTAAACTGTGGTTAGCTTAACTCTAATCCCTGTGATTGACCCAATCTTCAAATGCAAATACTTGTATTTCTATTTGAGTTAACAATGACTCCAGACATCTGATAGCAATGGAGGAACGATGTCTTTATCTAATAGTTACTACATATATCTTATTTACCTTATCTAGAGCTTCCTGTACTAGTTTCTCACTCTCACTGTCCAGGGCTGATGTAGCTTCATCCAGGAGTAGAATCCTTGGGTTCCTGACCAGAGCTCTGGCGATGGCTACTCTCTGCTTCTGGCCTCCAGACAGCTGAGCACCACGCTCTCCTACCGTGGTGTCGTAGCCCTGGAATGGGAGAAAACATAGAACAGACATAGAAAACCTATGATGGTATACATATTTCACATTGTGGTCATGTATAATGTTAGCCCCCCGTAGTAAATGTATTAAAGAACCTGTCTGGAAAGACCATCTGTTTGTAGTGAACATGTTGATTGCATCCTTTTGTAGACTCAACAGAAATATTTAACTAAAACTATTTCACTGTATTGTTCCAATTCAGATCAGAATACTACACAAGAGTATAGTTAACCTGGTCATTTGACTCAGCACACGGTGCATTCTCCACTCCCTGGGGCCCATACCAGTAAGATACCACAGGAACAAGAATGCATGTGGACATTTCTATTTATTTCTATGAATAGAGCATACCTTAGGTAGAGATGAAATAAACTGATGAGCATTTGCTTTCTTGGCAGCTTCTTCTATCTCAGCATCGCTCACGCCTTCATGTCCAAACTCAATGTTCTGCCTTATACTACAGTTGAAGAGAGTGGGTTCCTGGCTCACCACACCAATGTTCTCTCTCAGCCAGGTCACATTCAGGTCACGGATGTCAATTCCATCTATGCAAATCTGTACAGAAATTGAGCAGAGGGAGATGGAGATGTTTAATATACAATGTCATTTTCTGTAAAACCAGAATATCCTGTGACATGAAACTTTTACAAAATGTTAACAGCCAATTTCGTGGACAGAAATTGTCAAACTCATTGTTGTGATTCAGCAGTCTTTTGGCATTATCTCTTTTGAAAAGCTTAATCACTCATAAAAGTTTCTAGCTTTACAGTAAATTGTACAGCATTTACCCTTGGCAACACGCATAAACTTCGCAAAAATGTTTGGTTTTACAACAGACCAGGATAACACATTTCCCCCCCACATACGTTTTACAACCTATTGAGAGTCTAATATGTGAACAGTACATCTCGTAAATCGTTTGTATCTCAATGTAAGACCACCTGAAAGGATGTTGCATCTTAACTTGACTTTTTGACTGCTATCAGGAAAATATTATATTATATGAAAGATCAATACAGACATTGAATTCATAAAAAGGGTCTGTGCAAATACAATAAAAGCAATTCAATATAATAAATATTCAGAGTTCACTGTCAAAGGCACCTTTCAAGCAAGGAGATCCAGTTTGTGGCATCAAACCATCTCAAAATCATCTCTATAAAACCATTAATATATAATTCATGGACTTGTGTGTTTAAGCACAACAGAATTTAATTCCCATTGAAAGAAAATACAATAGAAGAGAGTTACCTCGCCTGATGCATGATTGTAGAAGCGTAGCAGCAACTTGACCATGGTTGACTTGCCGCACCCACTTGACCCAACCACGGCAACTCTTTGACCGCTGTTGACCTTCATGGAGAGGTCACGAAGGACAGGTACATCTTGTCTGATTGGATAGCTGAATCTTACATTACGGAACTCAATATTACCCTCTATTGACTTGGGCTTCATTCCCTTGTCTTTCCTCTTGTCAATCTCGGGTTCCTGTGGGAGACACAACATTGGAGACAATTTAATATTATTTCCAAATATGCTTTAAAAAGTACTTTCTTACGTCTGTAAATGAAGTAAATAGGATGAATCATGCATATGTTTAGATCTTAATACCTTAAGAAGAAAAAAAAATTATAAAAAGCAATCAGTACCTTGTTAGCGAGAGTGAGCCTGCAAGGCCTAAGGATGTATATTGCTAATAAATGATAACAAAAATGATGGAGCAAGATGCCATTTAAGCAAACTGCCCATATGATGGAAAAATCCTCATAGCAACTGCAGAAAACAAGAAGAGCATTAACACTATATTCATGAACCAAGTTAGCGCCTTTCGTGCTAAGAGCACATGATACAGTGCTACATGAGGGACTAAAAACCTGTTCCATTCCTACTTGGCCGGGTCAGTTGTTTTGATAAATACTCACACTGTCGATAACATCATAGATGGCGACGGCTGCTCCCCTAGCTGATGCTATGGCATGAACAGAAGGCGTCAAGTTACCTATAGACGCTGATCCTGACCAGATACAGAAGAATACAGTCACAACATCACCACCAGAGATACGACCTTCACTCACCATCTTAGGACCATACCTGTCAAAAACAAACAACATTCGCTACATTACTAACCCTTTCATTGGTGTGACCATTTGAACCCATTACATTTTAATGTTGTATACAATTTTGGAGACTAGAGAAAAGCTTGTCTTTCTTCATTCTTTCTTCATGAAATTTAATATGGGTTTACCGGTAAAAAGAAAAAAAAGAGGTGTTAAATCATGAAAAGATTTGTCTATTAAGATGAACAATGACAGAAGCCTACATGATTGAAAACCTGTTTCATGATATCAAATTTGTCATACATGTTTGTAAACTTGGTGGCCCAGATAGCGCGCTACAAGAAATTAATGCTGATAAAAATGGAATTTGTTCTTTCTTCAAATATTATAAAAACAAAACTCTTTTGCTCCATGATAGCTGATTACAGAACAAACCTATTTTTTTCAAGGATAAAAAGCCTACACATGTTACAACAGTATCTGCCAGGCACAGGTAAAATAATACATTTCGCAATAAAGAAAAATGGAATCTTGCATAACTTTCTGTTCAAAAAATTTATTGGTAGCAGCTCCCATTTTGATAATACAGTGTGGAAATAGATCACTACTCTCTACAACAAATTCCTTTAATTGTAAGAATTAAGCTTAAACTTACCAGAGTGACAGAGCATAAGTACAAGAGTAGAAGAGATAGCTCATCCCAATGCCTAATCCACTGGTGATCCCCTTCTTGATTCCTGCAGCCTTCGCAGTCAACAACTCCTTCTCATATCTACAACAAAGATAAAATACATACTAGTCACAAGCTCCTTCTCATATCTACAACAAAGATAGAATACATACTAGTCCTCAAACAACTCACAAGGACCAAGATAGAATACATACTAGTCCTCAAACAACTCACAAGGACCAAGATAGAATACATACTAGTCAACAGCTCCTTCTCATATCTACAACAAAGATAGAATACATACTAGTCCTCAAACAACTCACAGGGACCAAGATAAAAATACATAATAGTCCTCAAACAACTCACAAGGACCAAGATAGAATACGTACTAGTCCTCAAACAACTCACAAGGACCAAGATAGAATACATACTAGTCCTCAAACAACTCACAAGGACCAAGATAGAATACATACTAGTCCTCAAACAAATCACAAGGACCAAGATAGAATACATACTAGTCCTCAAACAACTCACAAGGACCAAGATAGAATACGTACTAGTCCTCAAACAAATCACAAGGACCAAGATAGAATACATACTAGTCCTCAAACAACTCACAAGGACCAAGATAGAATACATACTAGTCCTCAAACAACTCACAAGGACCAAGATAGAATACGTACTAGTCCTCAAACAACTCACAAGGACCAAGATAGAATACATACTAGTCCTCAAACAACTCACAAGGACCATGAACACTTCTAGGGAACTCCAAATCCATTTCGTCACATTTCCTTGATTTTAATTTCTAGTACTATATATGTATTTATGATTAAAGCTGCTGCAAACCTTAAGAGAAGCAGGCAAATATGAGGACAAAAATAATTTAGCTCTATGTACCAAATTCATATTTTGTTTTGTGGTCTGGTGAATACGTTGGTTGGTGGTTCTAGTCCCACTGTGGCACTAATGATCTTTGGCAAGATATTAATGTAAGTTTGCAACTCTCCACCTAGGTGTAGCAAATAGGTACCTGGTAGGAAGAAATTCCTTGAGTGCTCCAGCACTATATCATGATAGTTCAGCTAAAACCAGGGTAATAATATGGTTGTAGGGCACTCAGGGAGAACAGTAATAATACTGATGAGGCTACCCTACCTAAACAAGACATATTATTATCATTTTTATATTTCATGATCACTTAATGAGTGCAGAAAAGACTGTAACCTCATTGCTTATAGCACGATAATGTAGCATTATTGCATCATAACTGCTTCACAATCTAAATTGCTCATTTAAGTTACCCTTTTCTCTCAACACATTCACATATTGTAAGATCACCTATAAAAAAAGGTACAACCCCCCCCCCCCCCACCCCCCTGTAGTCGTGTCAGATGCTTATAATTGGGACTTTTAGATTTGCACAACGACAACGTGGATTGCTACGAACGACGTCCTTTTAATGCACTGCCTTGAATGGACGTCAGATGTATCAGTCCACGCGAATCTTAAAGTCCCTAATGATTAAGGAATATAATGTAGGATGTTTGAGCTCACCTTTCCAGCTCCTTCTTCTGCCCACCAAATGCCATCACGGTGCGTATACATGAAAGCACTTCCTCAGCAACACCACCAGCTTGGGAGTATGCCTGCATTTCTTGTGTGGTCATCACTGATATCACCTGTCAAAGCCATACAACAGTATTACCTTACAGGATAAATATTAATAAGATATGTCTCTTGCACTTCAGGTGATCATCATCAGGGTTACCATCTAGATGAACTAAGTACCCAACTGAACGATTTGCATTCAAACACTTTAACATATTCAACGTGAAGTGAAAAAACAAAGAGAAAACCTTTCCTAGGACATTTTGGGAGTCTAAATGTTTTGAAAAGAATATATTCAGTATTTCATACATACGGACACAGACATAGTCCTGAGAGTTGCCTGGATCATATCTCACAAATGGATACACCGGTCCAGGAGTGTGATTCTATTTCAACAAGTTAGTTTTTTCTTCATTTTCTGCCACATTCAAAGAAGTAACTTTAAGCTCATGAGAAGTCTTGAAGTCTGACCTGACCACCTAGAATTATTAAAATAGTTCTTAACCTCTATCTAAGAGAAGGGCATTGGATAAATTAAGGAATAAACTATCTTGTCATTATAGTGCTTTTCAGAGTACATGAATGTGGTTTTGTATATTATTTTGTTTAATTTTGATTATATTCTGTTAGTCTTAACCAAATCAAATGGCATACAATTGTTATGATTTACTAAAAATAATTATAAAAAAACGTTATCACGTTAGCAGGAGGAGCCATTAACCTATCTAAGTCATCAGATCTATTGATTGAAAACCAAAAAGTCCCATAACTGCATGTGCCATAATCCTACCAACCAGCAAAAAAAAAATAGAACAGGAATGTGGCTGATATGCCCTACCATCTCCACTTTTACATGGTATACATTTCCTGTCAACGGGCTGCAATGCACAAAAACTTGCTTACACACAAATTTGACTTGAAATTTAACATGTGCGAATAGCACTTAATTCAAAACTTGCTAACAAGGGTTACTTATGAAAACCATTTCATCATTTGTACTGGCTAACAAGAGCACACAAGTACAAAATACAATGGTCCGTGTTCTACTAATTAAGATTCAACAAAGGAACACTTAGATCTCAGACTAGCTTTCTTTGCTTAACCCAATTATGAACAAAAGCTTAAGCCTAGCAATGTGTTTAGATTTTATTTAGAGTAAGGGTCATTGTAGCCAAAACAACCCTATATCTAATACTACAACATCAGACTTTGCTTCATTTTACAGCATTCATGTTTTCATTGGTAACATGTCTTTATCTTTATTGATTTATGGGGGTTTACAGCACTAAGCAACTCTCAATGACTTCAAGACATGCACTTATGATGTTAATCTCAGACTACCTCCACGATGCACTCAAAGAAATTAAATCCAAAGTGTAAATAAAAACCAATGGTGAACCATAAATGAGTCATCACAAATGTAAACAGAATCAAAGTTTCTTCAATGTTCATTTTACATATTGTGTGCTGAATAAAGAATTCATAAAGTCAGAATAAAGTTAATTGCGTAAAATGAGATGGGTCTGTCTGTCTCTCAGCAGATGAGATACATACCCAGGCAGAGGTGGAGGTTAAATGGCTACTCTTCTCAATAAATGCTTGGTTCTCTTCTAACAAATTGTGACCTGTCATTCATTTAAAGACCCTATCCGATGAAAATACAACCTTATATCAATGGAAAGCTTAATGAACATGGAATGCAAACATATAACATACCGGGTAACATGTGGACCCGATCGGCTCACCTATATGGCTGAGGCAATGAGCCGTGCAAAGTTATTGTGAATATGCAGACTCCACATGAGATGACATCAAGTCAACAACTTCTGATTGTCAAAGCTTTAGATTTCTAGTTTTCAGAGAACTCTTACTCATCCGACAGACATTAAAATAGCACATAATTGAAGTCAACGTAATCTATGGCGTATAAGCTTTCCATTGATATATGATTCATCTTTTTAAATTTTCACTTCTGACAGGATCTCTTTATGGTTCTTAAGCTGCTGTAGTTTTTGAGATAGTTTGCCATCATTTCTGAAAGAAGGAATGGTACAGGTAGAAAGTAATACTTACATGAGCCATAAAGCCACTGGATAGGACTAAGACAGGCAGTACTGCCATGATAACTATAGTTAGTTCCCAACTAACACTGAAGGCAAGTATGAAACCTGATATGGAAAAAGACAGAACAATTTATTAAAATAATATCATCCATATGAATTAAAATGAAACATGTCATATTCATATTTCACGTCTGCATGAATGTAATCACTTCATTCTTGAAATGCTATTTGTGATATTCCAAGGTATACATGCATGTATACAGTCAAAATGTTTTTAAATCATTACAAAAGCAATGCATTTATAGAAGGCTTTGCTATTTTTACTCCAAAAAGTGATATTTGTCCAGTTCATTTAATTTTGGAAAATGAAAGATTACATAATCTTTGAAGATGCACATGCTACAAGTACTGGTTCTAGTTGAGCTTACCCCTGATGGGGTACATGTGCAGTATGAACATGTATGAGAGTACAATCATGTCAAGATTATTTGCCATACTTTGTGGTAAATGTTAACAAAAATTGGCAGTTATTCAGATTTATGCATACATGTACACATGGGGCACAAAAGCCATACATGTAAATGTTTATATAAGGTGAAATACATCACATTTTATGGTTATCAACACACTCTTTATTCTAAATGCTTGTATTCATATACAGTAGCTATGTGTAAGCATTTCATACACAAACAGTAATGTAGTTCTTTTAATGCTAGACCCAATATGCTATAAACTGATTAGACATTAATGTATTGGCTGGTATGTCTAGCTTACAACAAGGACACATAGACGCCACACCCGTTCAACCTAAAATGAGATAGAATTATGCTGGTACACTAAAGTATGGTTTAATTCAAAGGACACATTATATTGAAGGTATTAGTTAACAGTTTACCTGGTCATATTGTAGATGTAGATAACTTTGTGTAAGAGTAATACCACCCCCTCCCCTTCCCCCCCCCCAAAAACACAAATGTAACTAAATACCAAGGGACAATCGATAACCATTTTTCAACTACAAGTACAAAATCTTAAACTTCTGTACAAAATAATCATTCTACCATTAGAGATGTCACCATATCTAGAGGAGAAATTTCAAAGAATCTCATATCATAGCCACAACCATGTAAACCCTGTTACCCAAAACAACTTAGACTTTGGACTCAAAATGGTGGTCTTTGTTCTATTGTGTTGTTTCTATTTGTTTGTGTTTTGTTTTCAAAATTTCAATGGCGCCTTCAAGAAATTTACTGCAATGCCAATAAATATTGTCCCTGATATACTGTAACTACAGTGTACAAAATAACTCACTTAGAAAAAAAAACCTACAACTACACAAGCTCATCTACTCAAATTATATGACCTGTAGAATGTAGCTTTTTTTTTAAAGAATGAAATTGTTCATGTATGAATTACAGAACAGTGCATGATAAACTTGTGTGAATGATTCAAGGTTCATTTAAACACATTGAAACTACAAACCAAAAGCTGTTGGCTTCATCCTAGCTTATGATTCAAACACAGATAGTCAATAGAGATGGACTCTGAGACGACAGACAGACGGTACGTTAAGGTTCTGTACCTGGGATAGAAATCAGGATATTTGTAGGATTCATTTAATTCATGAAGAGCATGCCATATGGTGTACTGTACGTGCTGACTTGAATAAACATACATTTATAAATATTTTTACCAGCACCATACCGGAAATGATAAAATTATTAGTTTATTTGTCCATAGACCTATCATCTTGTACATGTTCATGATTTATATTGAAAAAGGTTTTATAAAAGAAAAAGGACAAATTTCAAAGGGAAAAAGGTAGAGTCAAAAAGAAGAAGTCAATGGTGATTCAATAACATAACCAGATAAATATAAATAAATGCTATATGTTACCAATTATTAAGTTTCATTTCTGTAAGCAAAGAGTCTTTAAAAATTTCATGTAAATTAAAGATTCAAGAAAATAACTCACCTGCAATGATTTGTCCTAAAAACTGAAGAAAGATGCCTACATTCTCTCCATAACCCGACTTCACTTTCTCTACATCACTGTAGGAGGTCAAAATGGAAAGATAAGTAATAGTTACATGATGGGAAAACATTTAGAAATGAGAAACATATACATACATGTACATATACATGTACAGGAAAGGAGGATGAAGAGAGACAAAGAGAGATGAGAAAGTGAGGAAAAGAGAGGAATAACAAAGAGAGACAGAGAGAGAGAGAAAAAGAGGATAAAAAGAAGATGAAAGTGAGAGCACTTTCTAATTACATCTACAAAGCTTTGAGTTCTTGGATTAATGTCCCAATCATATATATGAGGGAGATAACTTTTCATTGCAACTTTGAATATCTTGTAATGTTTTAAACAGATTGTAAAGTCGGCGTTCACCATTTGTACATGTGTTAAAATGAAAGAGCAAACTACTGGTATGGAAAATCAATTCCATTATCAATGTGTTCTTTTCCATGGTATTGATAAAACAATTTGATATCTCTTACAAGAAATACAGTTCATTTTTAAAATGAAAAAGTTCAGAGAATGCAACCCTTTAACATTACATTCACATTTTGGATTGTTATAAATAGTTATTGAACTAATGATGAAAATCAAAATTGTACAATTTTTTTAATTTTCATACATTTACATGTTCTCATACATGTACACATCATCTATACTTTCTTCTATTTTTTTAAATAGAAATTCCACTCAATTATTTCAGCTACCGGTAAGTTAACTGATACAAGTGTACTACACATTTCCCACGTATGTACAGCACTTCAGCTGGAATTATCTATGAGTTGGTATTCAACAGATCAAATTGGAAATAGTAATGAGTATGTATAATTGGAATTGGAATTTGATCTGCACCCTACCAGCAGGTGACAGTGATGGCAGACAATAAAATGAAAATGATTACCGGTAGTGTGTTTTAGAAAAGACACAAACAAGGACTTGTAGGCCCCCTATGTGTATCATAAAACAGTCATGGACTGCAGCTCTTCGATTGGTAAATAAATTGAGAAATAATGACTTTTAGTTACTTAATATTTGCTTTATTCGTGAAAATTAAAAAAACAAATGAAACACCGCTCTGGTTTCATGCATTGCTGGAAATGAACACTGCCAGTAAGTCCAGAATTGCCATTTTACTCCATGCATTAATTTCAACAAATGAACTCTTAGCTGTGTGTTGAATTAATGCATACAGTACTTGTACTACATGTAGTTCTAGGAGCTCCATGTATAATTAAACATGTACATGTATACAGCCCAATATGAGCCTAGAAGCCCTAGATGTTTGATGTACACTGTGGATTGGAACAGGCATTCAGATAGTGAGATGTCTTCTGTGTTAAAATCCTATGGGAATACCTATGGTCGGCTATGATTACTCTTTGTTTTATATCCTGTTTTGTTATGACTCTATGATATCTCATATATACAGAGGCTCCAGTCTCGGTTTTACCAAGACTGGAGCCTCTCTAGATTGACTATTAAACCGCCTCTGTTTTGTGCAGGTCGAAGGCCAGATGGAACTGTCCCTTGTGCGGGGGAGGAGCTTTCAAACTGAAAACCGTTTAGCATCAGTTTGGCCTCGGACCCACATCTGAAGCCAGATGGGTCCTTAGTATAAATGTGGTATAAGTGCTTGTATGCACCATGCACATTAAAAGTAAATGCAGGAACAACCCAACTTTCTCAAAACTGATATTGAATAAATTTCAGCTATAGATTCTTCCAACTATACACAGAATGTAATTTTAAGATTTATATGTTGGCAGTGATTTTTTTACTGTCAATTCCACTGACATCTACATGTGTATATATGTGTATGTTGTACATGTACAGTTTGTAAGTCATTGGCACTTGGAGGTTTACAGACAAGAGTAAACATCACTTTGTGACCTGGTTTAACAGAATGCTCACTGGCTCATAACGCTTCATTGTGGTAAAAACTGCTAAATCTGCAACAATCATGAAAAAGAAATTACAAAGGCGGTTTGGGTGAATAGCCTCCAGTCACTATTGTCTGTCATATACGATGTACATGTATATATGTGATGTACTCTTTACCAGATTTGACCTTGTTCTCTCTCTCCTGAAAGAATTTGAAATACTCTTTCATGATTCTTAAAGCCAAGCCCAAGTCCATTCCAAAAATAACTTACTTTCAATAGAAGCATAATAATCAGACTAACCAATCAAAAAAAGTCTGAGCAAAATCGAATAACTAATAAGAAAGTTATGAATTTTGAATGACATTAAAAACTTTGAAAATCACTAGACAAATTGGCAACTCACTCATGAGTCTGTGACGTCATGTCCTCACTATCCACTAATTATTTTCTTTATATTGATGATATAAATCTCCTATTTTCTCCTAAAGAATCATATTTCTTCATGCCAGCATCCGAGTTAGATTAATAGTAATATGTTTTTGTCTGGATGCATTAATATAGAGTAATTTTTTCCAGTTAAATCATGAAAAATTTGAATTTTGATAAAATTTTTATATAAAAGTCAATAATTATGAACATACAATACTAAGAAAAGAGTATAAATTCTCCAAAGTTCATAAAAGATTTTGTGAAATGTCATGCACGCAATATGATACAAATCATATAACCTGGGCAAAGGCATGGGGAAATCAAGTTTTGGGGAATAAAAAGAGAAATTAATGCGATTAAACCATATAGAGCAATTGATAAATAGTGAGGACATGACGTCACAAACTGATAACCATCTTGGCAATTTGTGTTATGATTTTCATTGTTCCATAGTTTTACATACTTTTTCAAAAATTCATAACTTTCTTATTAGTTATCCCATTTTGCTCAAACTTTTTTTGATTGGTTTGTCTGATTTTTCTTCTTTTATTGAAAGTACGGTAAGTTATTTTTTGAGTGGACTTGTCCTTTAAGTATCTTTCACAGTTCCAAGATGGAAAAGTGTTGTATGTTTAGAAGAGATGAGTTCTAGGAATTATTTTGCATGTTTTTTGCTAAACTTTAAGAGTGATTGTTTGATTTGATCTTACTCTGAAAGCTTTGAGGTGATTTCTCCTGTCTGATGAAAATCAAACCAGCTGATTTCCTGATGCAGGATAGCATGAAAGAATGCCTTCCTGAGACGGTTAGTCTGCCGTTCCCCCGTCAGTCCAAATGATGCAGTCTAATATAAAACACACAAATACAGGATCAACTTTATTGTAACACATTATAATAATAATAATAATAATAATAACCAGTGAAAAAAATAAACGGGGGCTCAGGGCGAAATAGCCCCTGAAATGCCCAAAAGAGCCCCCCGAAAATCAGAAAAGAGCCCCTGAAAATTTGCATAGAGTTCAATGCAAAACAAATTTAAGAATGTTATTTTTTATGCAGGCAAGGTTGAAAAGTAGCCCCCGAAAAATGAATATTAAATTTTTTCCCTGATAATAATAATAATAATAATAAATACTTATAAATATAAATAATATAAATAACTTATTCAAGGTGCTATACAAAACAAAATACACAAAAAGTTCAATCTGGACCCCATCTAAAATGTAATTGTGAAGCCCTGGGATGTACATGGTTGACAGATGTGTTATTAATATTGAAAAGTTACTTATCAAACCATTTCTTATACATTATTCTTCTACCAATAAATTTGAAATCAACTTTTAAAGTTTCATGTTCGCAATCAAGCAAACGCTATGAAAAGCTACACTTTATCATGAACAGTGAGCGATACTCACAATGATTCCATCTCTACTTGTTAACATGTGAATTTTCATAAACAGGTATATTAAAAATATCTTCTTTTTTGTAGCTAAACCGTCCATGGTCAGCCACAAAAGAAAATCTAACTCTGGTTTAAAGCAGCGGTTTTAATGGCTTTATATTGTTTTTTAAATCAGAGACTAAAATCAAATTTTCTTGATTAACACAGAATATTATTATTATACATGTAAATGCCAACACTGAATTAACCAAGACTCTACAAGGAAATTTAGGTTAGAAAAGAGAAACCATGGATACATGTCCAGTCCACTAACAGCCCTTCTGTATCTCTGAGTGTATTCTGCAATTTTGGAAGTCATTTTGGATGATGAGAACAAATTGAACACATCTGATGTACCACTAAAATTGTGTGAAAAATAGAAGTCCAGTTAACGCATGCCTTTGATGTCTTATTGCATCTACAGTAAGAGACTAATAACTTATATGGAAATCCATAGTGTGAACTATGCTGGTTTTAAGCTTGGTCTACTTGACTTTGGTGAAGGTTGGCCTTCATAAATAATCTGAAGTTCTGAAGGACAGAAAATCTAGGACTAAGTACCTTTATTGACCTCGACTTTATAATATGTAGACCAAGTTAATTTTTGGTATAACATAACTTTGCTCTTTTAGCAAACCTATGTGAGTAGGGTAGACTGAAAAGAAGTTAGCATGACCTCTATTTCACAAGCACCCATATGCTTGTGTTTTAATAGATTGTTCCTCACAAGACCCTTTTGAGATGTATAGCTGTACGTATTATTCACAAGGATGTGGGCGGCTGCTTACTGTGTACTAATCATTCATCTAGGCCCATTGCCATTTTATATCAGGACTTGAGTCAATATAGTCTGATTATAAACAAACACACCTTGACAAAAATGAGTCAACACTGTCTCTAAGGAATGGATACGCTTCTGACTTAAATGGGTTCAAACATACACATACTGTACCTATGTACATATACAGTTGTAATTCAATTTGGATACTCCTCCAAACACAAGTCTTAAAAATGCAGTTTAAAGTTAAAATCCATTTATTTTAAGAGATACTTTGTATGGCAACTCTGAAAGAACCCATGGATTGTTCACTGAACTTACCTGGATGTATGACGAGATCATAACAGACAGACCAACCAAGGCAAAACGTATACAAGACTCCTGAACGCCCTGCTCAAATGTATCTGACACTATAAGAACATCTTCATTAGCACCACTAGGAAATTGTAATAACGTTCTTGTAGTGTGCATGGTTGCATTATCAAAGTCTGTTAGCGTTACATTGGCTGTGTTGAACATAATAAAATCATCGAGCATGAGTCCCAGGAATAGGTATAGGATAGGCCATGCTGATCCATTGGCTAGGGCCGCTACAGCACCCAAGACGAGGAGGAGCCAGTCTTGTTCTGTAGCATATCGGTACTGTCAAGTGAGAGACAAGAATGAGGGATACATATCAGCACAGCATGATCACAACCAAACAAATACTATTTACATCATGTACATAATGTGAATAAAGATGGACCACATTATGGAAGTATCAGTATGACTCTAGTAAATGTTCATGAAAGCTAATGTGTAACCCTTGCTATACAGTGCCATCATATTAGTTCTATCAAAAGTTAAGCCTAAATTTCTGATGTCACATGTGTAAGTATTCTTGCATAAACATGTACATGTATATCTGTGTGCAGTTTTCAGCAAGATTACTGTAAGTCCATGTTTGATCATTTTGATGATTCCAAAACCCCACAAAACACAATTTTTCCTATCAATTATAATCAACCTTTCCAAGAACTTATATCTACATGTAGATAGTCTCTATGGTGATTTTATCACACGTCAAGAATTCAACTGTACCTTTAAACAGATAAGTGATATTGACACATACAAACCTGTACATATGAGAACAAGATAGAAAAAAAACTTTGGTGAAATTTATGGGGCTTTAAGAAAGACAGAATGACAGATACTGTACATGTACGTCATACATCATTTGTTTTATGCCATTATGGTCACTTACTATCAGGCCACTTTAAAGATGTGCATGTTTATATTACATACATGTATATTACAAGTATCGGTATACTACCAGTATACTTTACATGTACATGCCTGTCCATGTCCTTCCATTCATCTGGAGTACCAGCAATTTTTACTTTATGATTACTAGTCACTGAGCTCCTTTACTCAACCCATTGATTACTGACTTTACACAGGGACCGAATGGCTCCCATAGACAATAGGTTAGATTGCTACATACATGTATTTACAATGTTTGTTTGTTGTTATGTTGTTCTGTACAGAGCAATGCCAGCCCCAATGTATCAATTCATCTGCCACAATGTAAAACTGTACCACATACACTATGCCATGTAAGTCTTACTGTAGGCTTGTATTAAATTGTCTTCATATTCAAAACATGAAAAGAAAAGAAAACTTCTATAATTCTTGACCAAACATTGTTTTTGATGTTTATTAGTGAAGTCCTATACATGAATATACCTACAACGATATGCACTGTGTACAGTACATGTAGTTTTCATTCCTTAAGATCTTCACAAGATGTAATAAAATCAGTATTGTTATGATTATTTTAACCAGAGACACTTATTGCTATTCACAACAAGATCAACCACTCATGATAACTTGTGTACGGTAGACTCTTTTACAATGGAATTACATGACCATTACTAAAACTTAATGTATCTTTAAATTTCAACAACAACAACAAAATTGCTTACGGTATACGATATGATTTTAAGGAGATTATACCAGGATAGCAAAGGGTGGATTTAAAAGAATGACATTCACAGAAATGCAACCTGCACTACATGTGAAGAGAAATAATTTAAAAGCAATTTCCGTTTTTTTTCTAATTATACAATGGTTACATAATAGCTAAGAGAGGTCAACCCAACAGATTGATTAGGCTTTCATTATGTAAAGGTCTCATGAGATAGCCTTATCTATCTAATTACAAAGCCAGAGTATGGGGACAAAATCATATCACATATGTGTATTTTAATTGGATTTCAATGGATTATGATTCTGTGGGGAAAAATGTACTTGAAGTTAATCTCATTTTATGAACGATCTTCACAAGAAATAACTGAAATGTTAGAAATGGATTTTGATGAATTTTGATTTTGATCGTGAATTTCACTAACGACTTCCCTTATGACTTGAAAGGTTATTACTTGATCTGTAAATGTATTCTTTGAACCCTATCTTTGGAAGTAGTCTATTTGCCATATTTTCTTGCCTTTTAAATGAGGATCACACAACTGTTTATAAACATAAAATAACATTTGGGAAACATACACATAGTATACAATTTTAATATCGTTTGATTTACTCTTTTTTTTAAATCTCACTACAACAATGAGTATACAGTCTTATTTTCAGATTTTATACAATAATCTATAAGACTGGTTAATTATTTCCTCTTTGGAGAATCACTACTAAAACACAATACCAGTTATATCGTTCATTAAAAGTTATCCACTATCCATTGCCTTAAATTAAAAATTTTAACTGCTAAGTAATGTGAATACTTACCAAACTAAGAAAGGGAACTTTTTGAGGTACTTTAGTTCTGTTTTGTTGCGGCCTGAAAGAAGAAAAAATGAACAAAAATATGGTCAGATGAAGTGTAGTGATGTTATCAGTGCAAGTACAGAAAAGTGAAGAAATATTGGCTACAACCTTAATACATTCACAAATTTTTCACAGATTTTTCACAGAATGTAAACCCCTTCTAACAATTCTCTTAAATTCAAGTTCAGTACACTATATTATTTCTTCAAATACATGTACTTATTCTTAAAATAATGCCATCAATTTTTAATCACATTTTACATTTCTGAAAGCAATCAAGCCACAAGTCTTTGTGTACCATTAATAATTAAAAACAAGTATTCCATCCATTGCAGCTGTAGTATTAGGGTACCTCTCTTAATTTAGAGTCATGGATAATTAAAGAAGCACCATTAATATAATAGTACTGTTATAATTTGAATTAAGTATTGATACACACAGATTCTGTGGCACTTGGCACCTTGATTTGTAAACTGAGTACTTACATGTATAAAGAATGCAAATTGCTACACAAATTTCACATTCTTCAAATTTACATTGTGTAAATATCAGTCTGATACAAGTTTTGAATTTTTTACAAAAAGCATTCAAATACATGTATGTCTTTTTTCTGGTTTTATTTTACTTTGCTTTTTTGATTTTTTTTTCCAGCTACATTGTAGTACCTGAAACAATTGAATACTTAAGGTATAAATTGTTAGTATCTGAAATTTAGCATCCTTCTGAGCTACACATGTACATAAAGATCTAGTTTAAAGAAGGGATTAAATGCATGAGCATGGATTTAAAAAAAAAAAGAATCCATCATTCAAACCATGAAGTTTTTTCAACTACCAGTACCTATATGTGCAATGTACATGCTATTTCAACCAATTTCCATATTTATTTTTCAACAGGATTATATTCAGTCAAACACAGACTGTGATATTTTTTTTAATGTGGAAAAAAACTGAAGTGTCTTCATTTGAGTAGCCAGGCTTTTCCTACTTTGGTCAATAAATTACATTTCCAATGTTGCTGGAGCTACATGTATCTTGCCAGCAACCCACTGAATCCATTTGAGATCAGCTCAGTTTGGATTCTCATAGTTTTGACAAACACATACAAAATAACTGGATCTACTCAAGTATGTCCAATTCTGAGGAAAAGATTTATGGAATTCTTTTGTGTATGATATGGATGATTGATTTACTCTTGTACATGATTGAAGCACTCAATAATGAATTATGTGGGCTTGGAATGCTAAAAACATGATTGGACTACATGTAGTTCCATCCCACAGCCAATACCTTACCCAACCATACTATGCCTCTACATGTATATTACAACCTTCAAATGTTATGAGTATACAATATTTATGTTTATAAATGAGTCATTTATATGTACATGTGCATTTATGCTTTAAAGGACTTTAATAAGTAATATTGTACATTATTTTTAACTTACAAGTAATAAGACTATTGCAGTGGGTAAAAGGAGAAGGGGGTAAGGACATTAGTTTCCTAGAATACAATTTTCTTCAGGGGCTCCAAAATTGAGAATGATATGATATAAATTAACCTGAGCCCATCACTGAATAGTTTATGAGAAAATATTGTATATTTATTACAAAAATGCTCAATAGTGCAATAACTTTTAATTTTAATATTTATCAGAAAGATAAGTATGCATGTTCCTATTAAAAAGATAATAATTACTGGACATAAACTTTTACACAAGGCCTTTAAAGATATACACTGTACAGTAGACCTGTAGTGGTAAAATTGCGGCTCAAGGGTTTTGGGTGCAAAATATCCATTCAATATTGTTTAAATATTGCCTTCAGAGGTTTAGATGGTAATACTTCAACCTAAATTTTCAAAAAAGTGCATTCGCAATTTCTATGCAGGCTAGCTCGATATGATAATTTACCAAACATATCAATAATAGATCTAGTAGGTGTTTTTCTGGCAAAATTTGTATCATCACGTAAAAACATATTCTTTCTTATGATTGGTAATAAGAGCTTCCATTTCATTTTTTAATAGGGGGGCATTCCAAAACTGGTCTATACCTTTAATTAATGTAGACTAGGGTCTACATGTAGATTCAAGACCTACATTGATATAATTTGTAACTTTTTTGTAACAAATGAATAAAATGAACTTGATCCACCTCTAGACACAAAATGGAAAGGTCATGTCAAATTTAAATTATAAATCTAAATATGTTATATACTAGGCCTATAAGACCTAAAAATAAAAGTTAGATCAAATTCTAATTTCTATGCTGTAATTTCTTAATGAATGAATTAATGCATGACTGAATGATTTCATGTGTAACCGACTAAATGGATGAATGAATGATTGATTTAATAACTTTTTACTTTGAGATTAACAGTAAATAGTCGGTTTAGTTCAAATTTAGACCTTGCAGTAGTCTACTACAACTAGACTACATGTACAAGTATGACAAGTGAGTGATCGATCCAATGGTAATGCTGTTAAAACTTAAAGTTAGAACAAACTATTAAAGTAAAGTTATGAATTGAATTGAATGATCACATTAAGTAAAGTTATGAATTGAATTGAATGATCACAAAATGAATTTTCTGCACCCATTATCACTTCCCACAGTATAACCAAAGATTTCGACCTAACCTATCGGGACGTTGTGAACCATACAATGCCGCAGTCAACCGAGAAGAATGGATAACTAAATCTGAAGCTTCGTCTACAAGTACAGATTTGCCGGCAAGAGCACGATCGCTCGGAGGTCCCATAGTTGGCACGGCCACGGCTGAGCCACTGCCGCCATCACTACCGGCAGCCGCACCCAAACTCGCCGGGTCCAGCGACCCTCCCACAACATCAACATTCTCAGATTTGGTTCCTGTACCGACTCCTTCATGTTGATTTTTTACTCCTCCGTTGTGTTTTTCCAATAACGAACGTCTCTCAGCATTGTCATCTCTGGCAAACATTTTTCCAATTTCTAGTTGGCATACCTTACTCGAACAAGAACTTCATTAGACACGACGTAGATTAGTGCTGGGGTTAAAATTTAAAATAAGATCGCAGCTAAGTTGTTGTTGGGTTTTTAGGCTGTATATGAAAAAGATTACTTTTCGGCCTGGCAATGATGATTAGATGGCGCTGTTTCTTTTTTTCTGGCTCAAATATTGATTCAGTGAATTTCACAGCTTCCGTTCAATCGATGGTGTGGGCAATAATTTAGGAGTCGACCAAGAACAGGGTGCGAGACTCAATACATTTACTGTGCAGTGCTACACTACATTTTTCCTTTCCTTCCTCGCCGAGAGAGAGAAGGTGAACATAAAATCCCGGGCATGAAATAATATAAATACAAATTAAAACTTTGACTTTAGGCCTATTATATAATTAACAAAAACAAAATATAAATACAATTTGCTCTTGCAAAGTTAGTAACAAAAGAGGGGGTACTCTCGTTTCACTACAAAAGCCACAACAACAAAAAGCGGTTACGAGCCTATTTTTTAAAATCATATCAATGCTTAGTAGGCCTAATGCATGCTAGTTCGTCTTTTTCTTAAAGGCCAATATTCAACACCTTAAAGAGTCTCTATAATACAAGAACATTTAACGATTGGGAAGAATAATACTTTTTTTTAGGGGGGGGGGGGGAGAATGAACATTTTGTTTTACTTTTCTTATTTAAAAAGGCGAGGAATGACTCTAAAGATATAAAGAGGTAGTCAATTTTAAAAACGTATTTCCTACATTACAGGTGTTGTATACTCTCAAAAGTTACCTATTTAATCTCTCGTCCTTTTTTAAAAGAGGCAGGTTTTCTTCTTTTTCCATTTTCTTTACTATAAATTAGTTATTTTAAATTCGATTTTGACAACAGTCAGGGAATTTAATGTAAATGTATGTAATGAATTCCGGTCCATGAAATTTAAGATTTTTCATGTGAAATGAATAGCTTGTTTGCACATTGTAACTATGGTTGTATAAATTATTGATCTAAACAGCACTATGCTCGCTTCGTCACGTTCTCTTTTGTATACAAAAATGACTAAAATAATATCAAGTGACAGCTGCTATACTTTTCCTGGTAGTATAAACACTTTATTTAAATACAATACAAATCACATTTCTCTTTGTACCTCTCTCTCTCTCTCTCTCTCTCTCTCTCTCTCTCGATCTCTCTCTCCCCTTCGCGCGCGCTCTCTCCCTATCCCTCTCTCTTTTATTCTCTCTCTCTCTCTCTTTATCTCTTCCTCGATATGTTTCTTCTACTTCACTACATTTATGTTCTATATCTCTTCCTCCTTTTTGCTTATTGTCCACGTTTCGTTTAGTATATATATAATACATTTACATAAAACGTTTATAAACTGGAAATTCACTAAAACTCAACTAATGACCAAGGTATCGTCGTTATTCTAGTTATTATTGTTTGTTTTGTTGTTTAGTTTCTTTTTAAAATAATAATAAATAAACGAATAAATGAATGAGTTTATTCATTAGTTAATTAAAAAAAAACTTACGAAAACACGAATAATGACATCTGTATTGGTAATCTTCTGATGAAGGCTTGTCTATACATTAAAATCCTTACAAACAAACAAACAAGAACATGCATGCAGAGGGAGAGCTTTATATTCTGCAGGTTTGCTGTAATATCGTTCTAATGGAAGTCCAATCATTATGAATGTGATTTCTCCTCTAATTAGATTTCAACTATTAAGGTTTGTTCATGCTCTCCTTGGTCGAAATATTATCTCTCTTCTCGTTATACGCGATAGATCTAATTTGGGAAATTGGATGTATACTCTATAATTTATGTATGACAATGATGTATTATGACTGCTACCTGGTATTTTATATGCTCCCACCATAATTAATATGTTCATGATTATATTTTCTAATGGCTCCATTTCGTCATAGTAAGGTACCTGTATAGATGCAAAATGATAATACAACGAACAAAACTATGTGTATGACTGTCGGCTTACCAAAGACACTAGCTGAGAGGCAATGTGAGGTTCGGAAAGAGGGAGAGGAGAGTGAGGAAAATGGGGTAATATAAGGAGAGAGAGAGAGAGGGGTGAAAAAAGAGAGGGGGTGGGGAGAGGAGAGTGAGAGAGAGAGAGAGAGGTGAGAAGAGAAGGGGTATTCATATTGGGGGAAACAAAAAGAGATTTAAAGCCATGAAAGACAAGATTGCTCTGAAATGTACATTTATATCTATTGCTCATAATTCAATTAAATTCAATTCAATTGAAATGAAACAGGTGGTTGCTATAATAATAAAAGAACGTAAGAGATGTTGTTACTGAAATCATATGGTAGAATCTTTTTTTTTCCACGCATGTCATTGCACATCCTTTAAGCCTGTATGAAGTGTTGGTATGTGAAAAGATTTCTACCAACAAGGTGTTTTCAAGATAACTGGCTGGCACAATGGACAACAATCTCGTTGAAGATGATCAAAGGTTTCATAGAGGGTCATGGTACGAGTGGTAACGATGCCTTGTTACCAGCCATATAGCTATAAGAAGACTTTCGAATAGATAATGAAAAGAAAGAAAGAGACAAATCAACAGAAACACGTGAAAAAGGGAAAGGAACATACGACGGACATAATATGACCCCTTTATTATTAAAAAAATATTATTATTGTAATCACCATCGTCATCAGTAACACAACAGCAAAGAGTATGGTGCTGTAACACAACAGCAAAGAGTATGGTGCTGAGGCAGTAAAGAGAAAATCTTGAAGATTCTCCCTCATAATGTATTAATTACAATGCTTACAAAATTGTTTTTTTTTTTTTTTCTTTGAGGTACCCTTTGTGTGTGCTCCTTTTTATTCAGAAAGTGCCCCTTTTTTGGTGCCACCCTTCCCCCTCTTTGAAATACGCTCCGGCGCCCCTGGGAAGCTTTATCACTCCTAACAATTTCCATGTCTCGGTTGAAAAAACACTCCCTTAGCCTTTGAGGTAGGCTATATTATAAGACGATTCATGGTGAAGTAGGGCTTGTCGTGATGACCTCTTCAGAGTTCAATTCCATAAGAAACCCTGATGTGAATTTGAGCAGACGTTGACAGCCGTATAAAATGTTTCCAAATATTTGCCTCAATTATTTTATGTCAAGATGCATAGCGTCATCTGCTAAAAGGTAGGTACAGGGACAGGTCAGTGGAAAGCATGACAGTGACTGTGGAATAGTCACATCTTGATCATCGATTTTGTATGCGAGTCTCTAGTTGGATATTTCTTTCCATCCCTGATTACTTTAAGGTTATCACCATAGGGGAACAGGGCGAAGGGGAAGTTGGAACGATGTTCCTAATAAAACGAAAATATTATACAGTCACAATATTGTGATTATTCTAAAGCTACGCTGTAGACCACCATGCATTGCATTATTATAGAGATACCGACTGCTTCGAGAGGCCTGGCTGTTTTATGGGCTCGAGAGAACGCGCTTACCCAGGCGCGCCGAGGGGTCATGGCAAGATGTGCAAGTTCTAGAGAGCCTATAAATCAGCCAGACCTCTTTTATATGCCGAATTCAAACACAAATCTACCAAGAATTTCTTACCTTATCCTTTTATTGAGTAAAGATTGGTTAATACATCACGGAAAATCTGAGAAACTGTCTGTTTGTCTTTGCTGGAAAAATGACTGAAATTTTCGAATGGTTAGGAATTGCAAACAAAAGGCACTGTATGGTGTCCGCGCTCGCTCAAAGAACATTCTAACACGTAAACCAATGGGTATCGCAGCAAAATTTAACTATTTGCATGGTAACCGGAATTTTGAGGGATCTCACTTTTGGCAATTTTCGTTGCTTTACGGGAATGGCTAAAATCACGACTCCAATTTCGACCAATCAGATGGCTGGATTTCTTAAGCGAAGTATAAAATAAAGGCTATATTGCGTTCATTGTTTTCCATTTAAGTTTCCCCTTTTCAATGAAAAAAACTAAAAACAACGTACAAATCCGCTTTCGGTGTGGCGGTGTACCCGGGGTTACAACGAGAAGTGGTGAATAATGTAGATATTATAGATAATACTGAAGCTCCATACATTTTCGCTAATATCTTGTCAATTTCGCTATTATTAGCTCAGTTTGTGACCACGTTGTACATGTAGTTATATATATTTTTTAATGGTATCATCGTCATTTCAATTAATGTAAAGTATATCACTCCGAACATTCTTTCCCATTTGTATAGTACTTCTAAAGGTTACCGAAGTCTTCTAAGCATGGGCCACAATCCATTTTGGTTAAACGGAACGTTTATTACCCCCCCCCCCCCCACACACACACACACACCTTTTCCCCGATATCTTTCACAGGCCCTGCTTTCATCAGTATTCACATGAATCACAATAGTCTGCCTTGAAAACATTCTATAATCACTTCAGCACCACAACCCATAGTGTATTTAGAAACCGTGTGAATGGCTAACCCTTGTGATTGATCTGTCTTGCTGTGCCTTGTACATTGAAGGGGCTATTATAAAATAAAACCTCTTATTGCGCGCTAGAGAGAAAAATTGTACATTAAAACCATTGTGAGGATGAAATTTCCCGCTGCTATACGCAGTGTCGATGAATCAATTAGCCGCGGCTTTGTATATCATGCATGATGAATTATATTCCAGAGATATATGAGAGAGAGAGAGAGAGAGAGAGAGAGCAGGACCAATTATTATTTCAAGACAACTTGCATAATATCTGGGGCCATAAATAACCAGTATAATGTGAAATATACATGTTCTTGTAATTACATGGGTTATAAAGCCATGCACGGATACAAAGACAGATTGCTACGGTACAATCTAAACAAATCTAAAGTATTGTCTTTTAATTAAAATGTCATTCGTCCAGTCAAAATAAAATATAATTCTTTACCAGTATTACTAGACATGCATGCCATGACTCCCAGGAGAAAGTAAAATCTTTCGAGAAAAACAAAATGAAATAGTCATTGATAATTATACTTGTTGTTATCAGAATGAAGCAAAGATGTAAACGTTGCATAATTATTTTACGACATGCATGGTAAAATTTCAACAACAACAAA